TAATTCACACCCAAACGAACCCGAAAAAACGCTACAATAATTTTATGTTTATGTAACAATAAGCAAATCATCGGCAATTTGATGTTAATCCGCCATGAACGTCATGATGCTGTTAATTTTGAAAAGGCAGGTCACGCAATACGTGTGATGTATTTTGGAACTGTTTTCTCCAGAAAGCATAAATATATAAATTGATTTTAGTATTTAATGACATAATTAACATGGGAAGTAGATTTCTTAGATTTCTTCGAGAACACAATCAACAGAATACATTTTCTACTTGCGCCCTTTGGAAAAAATCCCGACAGACGCCCTTGGTAATAGGTAGGATAGTTATTAAATATGTGGTGACACCAAGAGGAAAGGGACGGATAATACATAAATGCCTTGTCTGTATGTGATCTGTGACAACGTGGTTTAGGATATTAATAAAGTTCCTAGTCAAACGGTAGTCCCATTATTTGAAATATCGTCTATCTCTAACAATTAACTAATAATCCGTCAGCCTTTAAAAAAATGGCATGAACAGATTTTAGCCCTTTTAACATAGATGAGAAAAGCGCTTCGTTAAAGCTACATATCTTACAACTTTTTCGTCATAAGCATTAACAATAAGTTAAACGAAACTTTATATTAGCAGAAAATGTCCTATTCACAACAATTTTCGTAATAAGCGTTGACCAGTATTCTATAAACGGAAGACTAAAGAAAAAACGTATAGGTTTTAAATCAGTAACACAGGTGCCCAGGATCGTCAGTGGTTTATTCGAGGTTTTGATATTTTAATTGTGAGAATCATCTTTAAAATCTGATGATGCTTGGATGAAGGAAAACACGCAATTTCTGTGCACTTTTTTGAGAAACCTCGTACAAATATTGCACTGCTCAACAATATTTAAAAATCTTCACCATTCTTTTACAGCTCTGCCAACGAGCTGGAGAGAAGATGATTAGTAGCGACATCCCCTCTGATGAGGGATCTGGGAGTAATTAGTATTATTACTGCTTAAAACGTAATAATCTGGTACAGTTCAATGCTTCCAAAACACCGTATTGTACTGCCATACTTAGGCAAAAGGCAAGAAAGTGTAAAAATCGAGGAATCTGAGGAAAACGAGTTCAAAATTTGAAATTTTTGCGAACTAAAAACATAGCATTATTCCGCCAAAACAAAAGTGAATGAATATTGGAAAATCATATGAGTTTATATACTGTCATTTAAATGTGATTTTGGATAATAATTATTATCGAGGTCTAAAATAAATAGCATTCTGTATGATTTATGAATTACTGCGTTTTTTGTAGTTATTTTCAAAAGAAAAACGAAGTAATGCAGAATTTAATATAATTTATAAGTAAATAATTTATCAATAATCAATAATTATATACATAATTACATTTAAAAATTACATGCAATAAAAATAATTATATAAGTAAACAATAAGAATATGTTACGTTAAACGGAGAATTTTTTTCAAAATAGTTCCTTCATTCAAAAGAAATTATTTATAACGATAAATACTTATTCACAAATAATAGTATTACATAAAAAACTAAATAAGTAAACATCATTATAGGTTATAAATGTGTACTTGTATCATGCAGAGAATAAAAGTAGTACAGTTTGAAAACTACTTTTTTACTTTGGTTTGGTTTATTACTTTTATGTCTCGGAAATGTAATTAGTATGAATATTTGACACAATGAAAAATAACTATTTTTGTTAAATAAGGTATCAATGATATATTTTGTAATTGTAATCATAAAAGAAATGTGTTGGCGGCAAAAATTTACGTAAGTACAGCCGTGTAACTTCACGATAAAAAGCGTCAAAGTGCACGTCCGGTATTTGTTTTGGGGTAAACACTTTGCTCCAGATAATACCCTCACTCTTTACAGGGCCCATATATGACCCAGCCTCGAATACTAATCACGTTTGTAGTGATACCGCCCCAACTCCACTGTTCATACTCGATGTTAACAAGGTGTCATCAAGTTCAAGCAGTCGCAGTGCCTCGTAATTTAGGTTTTTGTCTACGCGGCTGCAGCACTATAAAAAACGCCGATGGAGTTATGAGAGAAAACGAAAATTGTCAAAATATGCCAAACTTCGGGTTTCGATGTTTCTCGAATTTGTAAACTTCTCTGGGCATAGCCAACACATTTCTGGAGAGTTCTAAATTTACAAAATAATAGAGACCTCGTGCCCGACATTCTTCAACTTTATGATTATTTTAGCGCGGAGTCAAAAAAATGTATGATGCTCAATTTCTTTTAATCCGACATTTAGCTAGAACATGGAAAAGTAATGATTCAATCCACTTGACTGCATTCTCGAGCTAAAGCCTCGGCATGGGAAGTTCGAAGACAATTTGCCTGCCGTTACTTTCTGTTACGAAAATGCAAAAGCTGGAAAGCTTTAAATTTGAATCCTCTGTTGAGAACCACTCAAATATTATTTAAGTACATAACATTTAATAAATGCCATGAATTAAAAAAAATCGTTTTTATTATATCACTCCGACCGCCTATACCTATAAAATGAAATCGAACAAAACGAAGTGATTAAAAATAATTTTTCAATTTTAATCATAATTTCTACGTGCTTGAAACCAATATGAATTTATAAATATCCAATAAAACTACATGCTTTAATAAAACCGATTTTAATGAACATCATCGTTATTATGCACAACAATTGTTCATTGTATATTCATATATTTACTTAGAAATAATATTTATCTGCAGTTTTAATTCTGCATGTTTGCGATACGTATGAATTAAGCGAATGCAAATAGTTGAATACTTTTAAACAAATGTATGCTAATGATTTTTATGATAAATCAGTTAATTTTATACTGGTGTTTGTTCCTTTATGTGTCATTTAAGGCATTTTATCGGCACTATGAAAAACAAGAAACAAGTATTCACATATAAACAGCTACACAGTGTTCTTATGCACGCAAAGGTATAATGATGAGTGCAATCTGAATGAGAAAATATAACCAGTTATCGAGTACCCTAAAGAAAGTAATGTTTTAGTCGGTTTTAGCCTGCCTGTAAAGTTTTCAATCAAATAACTAACAATGAACACTACGAGCCAGACTCAGATAGTCTTCGAAAAAAATACCTGTTGGATTAAAAAAGCCTCTAAGATTTTACGAGCAGCTATTGATTTTGACCCCAGGTCGAGGTTGAAGGTTGAAAAGGGTGCTACCTGAAAGTAACCTTGAAATGACTTTAACCTTAACGTTTAAAGGTCAAATTCACAATATTGAAACATTTCCAAAACAATATATTTTCGTTTGAGCTCAAGATCATATGTGGTCGTAAAATGCTCCGCTCTTTAGAGTTTCTTGTTACGATTGTCCGTAGGTGGTAGACGGTCTCTGACTGTCGAACGCGGAGGTACCACCCGGCGGACTCCAAAGGCGAGGCCAGAATGTGTACATCTTGCACGCACACGTGTTCCCTCGCTAGAGCCCGTGTGGCGTCTCCCCCTTCCCCCAGTATCCCTATATAACCCCACGGTACCCATGGGTGTTATGGGTGTTTAGGCCTTAGGCCTTCGTGGTGGTTCAAGTATAAAAAAATTGAAACTCAATGTCAAGATCATTGGATGATAGCCTCCCTTTCAATCTACATCTATTACATTTTGCAAAAATTGTAATTCTGCCAAGATATTTTGTGGTCTCAAGTTGAATATCTCACCCTGAACACAGGGTGTCCCAGAAATTACACACCAGAGTTACTCGAGAGGTAGACTGACTTTAGATTAATCAGGCAAAATCAACATGACCTTAGTAAAAGTTTTCTGGTTTTCAAAATATTGCCACTTTCAAGTTTTTCCAAAAAATTCCAACTTTTTGCTCCTTTTTTGCCTGTTATAGCTATAAAGAACTTCTAACTTATGATTTTTTTTCCTGGGTTACAATTAATAGTTGGCCGAGACAACCGAGTATTCATTTCATTGAAAACTAGCACGGTATGCTAAAAAAGCTACATTATTACGTTTGGCTTCAATGCGAAAACCTTTACTAAAGTTGGACTAATTACTGTGAAAAACGTGTACCAGATTGAATCAACAAATGACCTTGAAACACTAGCTATTCAGTGCTATTTCAAAAGTAGTATAACATTTGTAGGTACTTTTTACTAAAAACTGAATAAGTCCAACTTTTGTCATTGAAATCACAATAGTTGCGAAATACTACAAATAAAAAATAATAAGTGCAGCTGTCTTTTGTGTCCAAATTACAACTTTGTAGTTGTTGTAATAGCTTTCTACTTTAGCAAATGTCTAAAACAGCTATCCGTTATCCATTTTTATTCACTGTTGTATGCAGGCATCAAAATAATGAACAGAAAATTAGATTGTTTTTTAATTTCAATTGATTTTTACAACATTCAAATCAAATAAAGAATTAGGAATCATTATTAACATCTTAAATTAACTAAATGAAAATTAAATTAACGTGTTGTAATGTAGATATTTCCTGAAATAAATGATTATTATCATTATTATATTCACAACAAATTTTCAAAACGTCTACCACAGACTTTTATTCGCAACCTGCATCTTCTTGAAAATTGTCCTTTTAAACGTCTCAAGTTTATATCGCATATTTTGCGTGTCGCTTGAGGGATTCGATGACGCAGTTCATCGGTTGATAGAACTGGTTTTCCATAGACCTTATCTTTTGAGCATCCCCAGTAAAAAAACAGATGATTCACATCTGGGGAGCGTGTGGCCACAAAATTGGTCCTAGTCAGCCAATTCATCTTCTAGCGAATGTTTTATCAAGATAGCCCCTTACTGCACTAGCATAGTGTGCAGAGCGTCCATCATTCTGTAACCACATCCTTCTTCTTGTCTCAAGAGGCACATCGTTCAAACGAATGGATACATGATGTTGCAAAAAATCTAAGTAAATTTGTATTAGTCAAACTTTAGCAAGGATTTTCACTTTGGAACAAAATACAATAATTTATTTTTTTAGCATAGGTACAGCGCTATTTTTTAATGAAATGAATACTTGCTTGTCTCAACCAACTATTAATGGTAGCCCAGGGAAAAAGCATAAGCTAGAAGTTCTTTATAGCCATAACTGACAAAAAAAGGAGCAAAAAGTAGGCACTTTTTGGAAAAGCTTAAAAGTGGCAATATCTCGAAAACTGCAAAACTTTTACTAAGGCCATGTTGATTTTATCTGATTGATCTGCAGCCAAAATACCTCCCGTGCCACTCTGTCGAGTTATTTCTGTCTAGGACATCTTATTTAACCGACAAAATGCCTTAGTAAACCGACATACCATCTATTTTATGAATCTCAAGCTACAGTATCCATGACTTTACATGATTTGTGATAAATACTATACTAGATCTACAAGATTTGATAACGTTTAATACTGAAATTTTTTAAGCATTTAATACCAGAAAACGTTTGAAAATTTGATCTAAACGTTTGATCGAAAAACCGTTTTTGTGAATAGATCTTTAAACGTTTAAAATCCACAATCTGAAAATCTTTTCACACACCGACCCCATTGCCAACATATTTCTTTGTTAACTACTATATAAACTGCGTCTGAACCATGCGTTTATTGGGCTGGATGAAAGTCTAGGCCTTAAGCTGGAACTTCTCCGATTATCTAACTTAAAAAATCTAAAAAGCATAATTGTTTATGAGGCGTGAAAAAGGAGATATGTAATTGGTGTTTTTACTGGGACCAGCAATAAAACGAACTGCCCTCAGGCTTAGCGAATTCAATGGTCAATAGTCTTCTTGCTTACATAATCTCAGAAAATAGCTAGGTAATCCAAATAAGAAAACGTGTCTATACTACATTTCTTTAATCGGCTCGATATTCAATAAAAATAGCGTGTTATGAAAGACAACCTGTAATGCCTTCAACAAGTAAACTTTAGCGTGTATAACTCCATGTAGATGTTCCCGAGCATCCTAAAAATAAAGAAATCAATGATTCAACTGCATATTTAATGCGTACTGTATCGACATACCGTCAATATGCGAACTCGCCTATAATAAACGCTAAACACGGAACACAAATTAGAAAGGAATATTATCAAATTATGTGGGCCGAATATTCCCTTCTCTATATCTTTCACAGAATCTTTCAAAACCATCGGGTATTGCATTATGCAAACATAAAGTAACTCCCATTCTTCCTGAAAAAAAAGGTATCATATAATACTCTTGACGGCTAAAGAACATGACCCGTATTTACTATTGACCCGCGGGTTATTAACCCTACAGGTCAAAATCATTAGTCAGAAGCGTTTTTGAGTAATGGATTTAATTTATATATAGTCAATTTCTTCTACAATACTTCTCAAACTAATGGGAAGTTATACGGGCTTGTGCAAAAAGAACTCTAATTTAATATTAGTAGGAACTGTTCCCTACAATTTTAGTCCTGGGATCATTGAAAAAAAACAAGGTTATTGTAACTAAGCTGGGCGCTTGATGATTTCTTGATTTAACGTAGGGAATAAAGGCCCTTTTTATACAAATCGTATAATGATTTGCTATATTGAGAGATGAATAAATTATTTTTTATATCGGTTCCGTGATTGGTCAATTCTGATTCGAGGCGCTTAGGAAAGCGAATAAATTATGAGGGCAAATGAGCTACCCTTAACTTCTTCAATAATATTTATTATTTTATACTGCAATGTACTCATAAATAGTCGTACCTGTTGATCAAGCAATGAGAAATCAACACAATCGATAGCTGGAAGCGCAGGATAAACGTTTTGTGCGATTCTTCTTTCAAACTCTCTCAGCAGAGTCGCTAATCTAGCACAATTGTAAAAAATAAATGATGCACCTGAAGATTTAAGATGATTAGGAAAAAGCTATAAAATATATTTTACTAACAAATGAATATCTAATATTTTGTTTGTATTATCCTGCTGAATCACCTATTAAGGCGAGGTTCACAGAGAATTGAGGTTAGTAAAAATTATAATCTCAAACTGACAATTTTGTTTTGATATGAAAGTAGACCAAGTAATATCCCGCGTAGAGCTCTAAAAGGTAAGCAGGGTGCCAACTTACAGGGTTTTCGAGTAAATTCTGTTTCCATAGAGCTATAAATCACCCTTTTGGCAAGTGATCTTTTCGACTTTATGAAAAAATGAGTTATTCGTAAACCACATAAGTTGTCACCTAGTTAATTAGCTTTTACGTCCATACGCGTCAGATTACACGATTTAGTTTTTTATCAAAAAATAACTTTCAGATTGAAATTTGCTATGACTGCATAGGACTGAGTGCAGCATAGGCCAGTACTAAGGGCCGTACGTCAGAAGTCCCTACAATTGTAAGGCGCCTTTATGGTCTCCTTGATTTTCATAGTTTTTCCTGTCCTTCAGAAGGCAGAAAGGCAGGGGTATTTCTAGATTTCTACTATTCCGTGTCCGCGTTCTTTTTGATTTATATCATCTGTTTTATCAGCCTGAAATTTTCTACAATTCAAAAAGGACGCATAACCTCACAATAGGAGAGTGCTGACGCTGAAACGGAACAGTAGAAATCTAGAAATACAACAAGCTTTCTGGAGGAGAGAAAAGACTATGAAAATCAAGGACGTCATAAAGGCATCCTACAATTGTAGGAACGACTAACGATACCGCCCTAACTGCAGTGTTTGAATGAGTTTACAATGCATCTAAATGACCAGCCCTATATGGCGGCATTTCATTTTTGATTGAAATATCAGTACAATATAGGTCTGTGAGCTAGAAGACATGTAGCAAGCAATGAAGAAGATAAACTCCTCAGGTAAACTGCTAACTGTGTGTAGTATTTACTCATTTCAAATAAATTGATACCAGGAATTCCACATAAAAAAAAATCAACCCTATGTGCACAGCAAGAGTGGTCATGCTCACCCCTCCCCCAAATATGGATTTCTAGTGTAGGTATTTCCCTTGATTAGAGCACATTTGTATAGTAGGATTAGGGATGCACCGACTACTTCTTTCAAAACACCAAGCACCCGATACTGGAAATTACATATTCAAATTGGCTGAATTTCAAAAAGCGATAAGAAAAGAAAATTGATTGGTGAACTATATAAAAAACTAACAGGTGAGAAAATATGGTACATGCAGGAATATTAATGAAACATAAGAAAGTTATTACATTTCACATTAATATTCATTCCTAATTTTTCTGTGATGTGACTTAATTACACACAACACGGGAGCGGTGCTGATTTCTGGAAACGCTTTTCAAAGTTTTTGAAAACGTAACGAAATCGAAATGCATAACTTAACGTAACCCTCTTCAGAAAGGACAATACAAATAACCCGTCCAGCTCAGCTAATACATATATTTCATGGGCAGCATATTCAGTAATCATTTTTTCATATAACAAATATCACAGATTTTATACTCTTGCAGACTTATACACACAATCATCCAGATATGATCTTGCTAGTCAATCACACGTCTTCTCAGAGAATTCTTTACAGGCTACTCTGCATTCTGCAACCAACAAAGTATGTTGGGGAACTGCAGCATGGTCATTGAGCGTGTCGTTAAGTCATTACTCCATAGTTGGACGCTCACAGCGCTCATAGCGAGTAATCACTACTGGCACACTAGCAACAATCTAGGCAGCAAGTTGACATTTTGTTGGTCTTTCTTTTACGTTTTTTAATTTTTTTACATAGCTCTGCGGGCACTTGGTGGAGTGATTTGCTCTGTGGGTTATTTAACCTACTGTTAGTATTTTTCAGAAGTTGCGGTAGGCAACGCGAGACTCCATGCTGCTCAATTTTCGAAAAATTGGCTAACAAAACCTTGGCTATTTTTTATTTATTTTTTATTTCATTTTATTTATTTTTTTTTTTTGAGGATGCGTTAATTTCTAGAACATATTAGGAAGGTTTGGGAAAGACATACCCAATCAGACCTTGCACATCACATTTGCAATTATTAATTTACAAAAGTTGTATGTCTTGCTTTTAGACTGAGTAGCTAGCAGGTCGAATAATTCAATACTTGACGAATCAGGGTGCTCGGTAAAATGGAGCGTGTATGCTAACTACCAGGTACAAACTGAGTACTCGGTGCATCCGTAATCAGGATCGAAATGATTCAAAATAAATGCTGTCAGTTTATCAACGGACTTAGGAAATATGATAAACATGCTCTGCTTTCGTGCTTCCTACCAAAGACAGCCAACCATGGACAGCTGTTTCGCGCTTTTTGGCCACCCCTCAGCATGGTCTACCCTTGCGTCCCTCAAAGAACAAACGAAAGTAGTGATGTGTAGTTCGCGAACGAACTAGTTCAAACGAAAGATTCTTCTGACTGAACTAAATGAACTAGTTCCTCATTCCCCGAGAAACTCTTTCACTCGTTCACCACGAACTAACAGAACCGCCGCCGTTGCGAATCAACGAACGAAAGAGATAAAGAGAACGAAACAGGTTCAAGAGAAGAGAGGGGGGGGTTGTGAACGAACGAAAGGCCGAGAGTGGGATAGGAAAATGTTGCCAAGCTTAAAGAACTTTCGTGAGTATAAGAATGTTCCATCTGCGGAGCAGAATTCGGAACTTTTCAGATGCTAAAGAATGTTGTTGATATTATATTATGGTGAATTTGAGCAGAAGATATTTTTACGTTTTTGATAAAAAGATGAAAAGTTAACTACACGTGGTGTTTCCTAGCGGTCACCAATCCAAGTATTAACGGCACATTATTATACAAACTGAATCATACGTATTACGTATATACTTTTTGATAGCTACTTAGCTACTGCGGATTAATATTAAGCATATATTTATTGTCGTGGATCTTATATGGTTAGAACTATTACTTCAGCAAATCAGCAGTGATCGAAACGTCGAGTAAAACACAGAAAATAGAATATTTATTTGAAAATAAATAATAAAGAATCAACATAAAATTGTACAAAAACATAAAGTTATAAAAACATAACAAATGCTGCTGACTGCAGGTTACAAAGGCCAGAAGAAATAAAAATTAGCTCCTATCAAGGATAATTAGGAAAAAACAAAACTAAAACGAAAATGTGATACATTTTTTTTTTTTATATCGAAACAGCCGCGCAGGCAGAAGCCTAAATGCCGGAACACCGCGGCTGCTATGATGATCCCAAAGAAATTTTGTTAATACGATTTTTGAACTGCTTAAGGTTAGTAGAACTGGGAAAAGCTTCCCCCCGTAGTTTGTTCCACAATCTAGACACCCTCGGGACAAAGGAGCGGTCGTATCGGCCAGTTCTGGATGTACGAAGTTTGACACGGTTGGGATGGGACGCCGAAGTCAGGCGGGTCTGTCTGGCAGGCACATCGCGCGGCGGCATCATGGAAGAGAGCTCTGAGGAGCAAAGCCCGTTGGTGTAGCGATAGAAAAGAGCTAGATCGCCGACGGCCCGCCGGTGCGAAAGAGTCCCGAGACTGTCTGTTAGAGAAGAGTCATCGATCAGTCGGACCGCCCTCCTCTGGACAGCATCGAGCATGGACAATGTAGTCGGGGCGGCAGCACCCCAAATGTGTGAGCAATACTCGAGGCTAGGCCTTATCTGGGCCTTGTATAGAGTGAGAAGGTCATGCGGAGAAAAGTACTTCTTAGCCCTAAACAAATAGCCTAGCTTTTTCCCAGCAGCTGCAGCTATTGAAGAGATGTGTTCGTGCCAGATCAGGTCCTCGGTGATCTGGACTCCGACCAGCCGAAATGAATGGCTCTTTGGTAGGACTCGACCGTCCATCGAAACTGTATGAGCGCTAGGACGCTTTTTGTTCGTCAAAGTACAGTACTGTGTTTTGGAAGCATTGAACTGTACAAGATTGTTGCGTCCCCAAGCAGTGATAGCCTCCAGGTTTCTTGTCAGAGAAGAAGTCGTCGCTAGTCTTCTTTTTTCCAGCTCAGCGGCAGAGATCGGCTTGTCACTCTGAACTCAACATAACTATAAATTTCCATTCAAAAACATTATTTTTTGAACTTTGTCAGCTCCTAACCTACTTCTTCTTTCCGTCAGGACTTGCCCAGCCTTCGAAAAAAGCCGCTCACATGGCACAGATGTTGCTATCAGACATAAACGTTTTTTCACCATTTCGAACAGTCTAGGATATACCTTCGCTCTCTCCTGCCACCATTTTAGAGGATCTTCTGTTCTTGGTAAAAGCGGTTCTGCCAAATATTTATCGAGCTCTATAATCCCTCCTGCCAACGAACTTTGTGCACCAGAAAGACTTTTTACTTCTTGGTCAAAATCGTCCCAAAGGTCTGAGTCTGTTTCCACCCTTTTGGATTCATTTTCCTCCTGGTTTGAGTCTAAAATACTCTGATTGGGTGGATTCATTGCTGAAAGTTTTGTTTTCAACTGTTCAATTGAAGCTTTGAATTTTTGTTCATCTGTGAATCCAAGCTTTTTATATCGTGGATCCAGAATTGTTGCTTGACAAGCAAGCTCGTTGTCTTCATAGCTCCTAGATCTTTTTAGTATTTGTTCACTTAATTTCTCCATCATACGCATGATTTCAATTGGAGCTGATTCTCCGCGTAAGAAAATGTAGAGGCTGTGCAGCTTTCTCCCCATTATTTTTAATATTGGAAGCGTTTTGGACAGTGTGACTGTCTTCTCTGCGGAGATTTCGTTAGTCACATCCTGGAACAATTTTAGAATTTGCGTGCCATATTGGATGATCTTCCAGTCATGGCTACTTAACGAGGAACTTAAGGCATTTTCTAGAATGGCTAACGTACTAATAACCGCCTCTTTTACTTCCATTATCCTCGAGAGCATATTATATGTGGAGTTCCAGCGAGTCTCCACATCTTGTTTCAATTTACGATTTGGTAAACTCATCTGCTCTTGTATATGAGTCAGTCTCGATTGAGTCTGTGAGCTACGTTTGAAAAACTCAACAATAGATTTTACTTTTTTTATAGTTTCGCCAATCTCTTTAATTGCCTCCTCTACAACTAAATTCAATGTGTGCGCGAAGCACGGCAAATGACGCCATTGGCAACGTCGCACTGCTGCAATCATGTTTGGGGCGTTATCCGTTGTACAGGCGGCAATTTTATTTTCCATGTTAAATTCTTTTACTGTGTCCAATAAAAACTTACTCAAAAAAAATGAACTGTTACACCAATAAAATTTTCATTGTTTATAGATGTCCATGAATCTACGGTTAAATTTGCTGCACTTACATATTGCATCCGGTTCTTTAATTTTTCAAGTTCGGAAAGATAAAGATTCGGTATGAAAGTCTGAGAAATTGTTTTTCTCGTGGGCAGAGAATATCCTGGGTTCAACATGTTGACGAACTTTTTGAATTCCTTATCTTCCACAATTGAAATGGGTTGGTACTCTTTAACAATCATCCGCACTAACTGCAAATCTAAGTTTTTTGCTTTTCACGAGGGGACAGGCCGAACAAAATAATCTCGCAGTGTACTCGACGACACAGGATATTTCAAATGTACTGCAGTATTTACCCGCTCATCTTGCATGTTTGATGTTGCCGGTTGTGGTTCAAGAAGGTGAGGCACATTATCCAGATTTTGTCCGTCAGCAAGTGGTCCTTGTATCTCTCGTTCAGCAACAGTTTTAAGAGTAGGGTGCTTAGCTTTCATATGTCTTGACAAATTTACTAACGAACCACTTGCAATGCTGATGTTTTGGCTACAATATTTGCACTTTGCTTTTAGGTTTTCAGATTTATCGAAATGGTTCCAAATTGCACTTCTATTTCTCCTCTCCATTTTCAAACAAATTTTCGGTCGTCAGGTTCAAAGTTCAAAATTTTCACGCTCGGTCTTCGATCCTACCAGCTTCCCACGTCCTTATCAACACGCTACAGCCTACGGTGCCGGCATGGTATCGGCGCACGCGTGAGCGATCGTGAACGAGAAAGAGTATTGCCAAGTGTACAGAACTTTAGCCATATCTAAGGATTTGTCAACTATGCAACAGAATTAAGGACGCTTCAGATGTAAAATAAAGTTGTCATTTTACTTAGATGCGTATTATTGAGCAGCAGATACTATAATTTTTCACATTTCAGATGTAACTAAAAAAAAAGAAAGCAAACCAAATATGGTATTCCTAGCGATCATTCATCCAAATATCAACCCTGCCGGATGCTTCTTAGCCCCTATAATAATAATAATGATAATAATAATAATAATAATAGTAATAATTTTTTTAACAAAGCTGAAATGTAGACAACAAATGCTATCTACTGCTCGAAATTGAATAAAGCATCTAGTAAAGCTGTTGAAATTTATCATATTATAAACGGGATCGGCAACCATGTCTACTGTCTACTATAGGCTGTATATGCGTTGCGTAATATATTTCGTTCGCGAACTAGATGACAACGTGGTCACCTTTAACCGTTAATGTATGGTGTACTATGTGTTGCATAAATCTAGTTCGTTCGTGAACTAGTTCCTAGAACTAGTTCGTTTCGGTGAATGAGATCTATTGAACTAGTTCACCGAAATGAACTAAAAAGTACATCACTAAACGAAAGCATAGTGTCTATACACTACCTGAAATGTAAGATCTATCGAAATAAGACACCATGCAGCGCCGTCTACTACTAGAATCAACTTGGGACTGTATAGATCTCAATCCGCGAATTGGCGGCCCAGTCGCCACGTGACCGCTAGATGGCGTCGGATCTAGCTGTGCAGTAGATGTCGTCTGATTGTGAACTTGAATTTATTTAAAAATAAGCTTCATAATTTAGAGGAAAGAGGCCAACAAGTTTTAGATACCAATCTATTACACACAACCCCTACAAAATCCAACCCGTACGTCCTCGAGTTCGTTCTGCGGGGCGGCCTTGGGCGCTGAACCGTGTGCGACCGTGTAGGGGGGGCAACGGGGTGCCGGTCTTGCGGTGGACCGCCTCGATTAGTTTTTGAGGAGACCCGCCGGAAAGCCGGTAGCCCGGCCAGTCGAATGATTCGTTGAGCCACAGGTATCTCGGATGTATATCTGGGACGCCTGCAGCTCAACGGTCATCATGGGCAATGGTACGTTACCCAACCCAAGGTGTTAAGCGATTCCGTGCCGAGGGGTGCGTGGCGGTGGGGATGCACCGTCTTAAACGGAGCCTCTGGGACACCGGGCGACCTCCCAGAGTATCCAGCCTTGCGTCCGTGTAGGGGCACCGCGGACGTCGATCACCACTTCCCCTATACTCGTGGGAACATTATGGAACCGAACGAAAACAAAAATAATAAAAAAAACCGAGGCCCCCCCTACAGGGGACCCCGAACATCCAGGCGGCCCCTCACCAGGGGACCCTGATCGTACTCTGACAGAGGAATCTGTCAGAAGCTTAGCGAGAGAGCTAGCGGAAAGGGTGGGCTCTCTAAAGATTAAGAAGAAGTCTCGGCCAGGTTCCGAAAGGAAAAGGGCTCGGAAGCGGAGAGAGGCGCAGATGACGGAGGGCTCGGAAGGTCGGGGCACCACTTCTGGGACCCCGGCTGGACGGACCCAACCGCCATCTGGGCTAGACGGTGCGCAATCCGGTGTGTCAGCGGAGGCCCTAAAGCGGCCCGGTGACGGGAAGCGGCAGAGGTCTGCCGGTGGGACACCGGAGGGCGCATCCTCGCGGAAGAAGCCTCGCACTTCGACGCATGCGCAAATTAGTTATGCGCGAGCCTCCCAAGCGGGTCTCAGGGTGGCCGTCGTGTCCGAAGGTTATCCTGGGACTCAACTTACTAACGTACAGGTGCAGCAGGTCCAGGAGGCGGTCAGTGTGCTGATAGATGGGATCCCAGATGAGGTGGCCCTTCCCAGGTACATTGACTGCTACCTCTCTCGAGGGGCAGCCATCTTTGTCTGCGAGGACGAATCCTCTAGGGCATGGTTGGAGGCCCACGTGGGGGATCTGCGGCCGTGGGAAGGCGCAAGGCTCATTACGATGAGCTTTGGAGACCTTCTCATATACCACCGCGTGATGGCCTGGTTTCCGGGTCCCAACCTGGACAACGAGGTCATCACGAGGAGACTCAGGAGGCACAATCCTGGGACTTTTCCCAGCGCGTGGAGGCTACTTGAGAGGAAGGAAGAGCCGAAAGGTGTCCGACTTGTCCTCTCAGTTGATTCCATAAGCTGGAAGGTCATTGTAGGTAACGGCAACAGGCTGTGTTGCGGTGGAAGTTCGGGGGTGTTTACACTCCTGAGCAAGAAGAAGAGCAGTGGAGCGACACCTGCTGGAACTGGCCTGGCTCCAAACCAGGAGTCGGACCAGCCCAGACCGACGGGAGCTGTGGCGGTAGACCAGGCTCCTTCACAGGGGATGGGTCGGCCGGGTCAGCTCTCGCTGGAACTACCGGAGGCTACGGACGTGGAGGCGGCGGGTCCAAGCGGGATATCCGCAGAAAACATCGTGGCGGACCCTGCGATGGATTTGGTCCCAGAGGGAAACGATAGCGACTCGGACGAGGATGGAATCCTGAACCGAGTCCGAGAACTCCTCCGTGGAAGCGGAGATGAAGGCGGCTGTGGCAGCGAAGACTGCGGCGGCGACGGCGGTACGCCCGAATAGGGGTTACATACCGTCATTCGGGAAGGTGTAGGAAGGGCCTCTCAACATCCATGGTAAGTTTTAATTTCATCCAAATTAACTTACAACACTGCATAGCGGCTTCGAGGGCCCTTACTCAGGAGATCACTCGAGGCCGACATGACGTGGCTCTCATCCAGGAACCCTGGCTGAGAAACGGTTCAGTAAACGGGCTTAGTATACCGGGCTATACGCTTTTTAGCGATACTCCGGACACTAAGCCCAGAGCTTGCGTAATGACTTCCGTCAACTCATGGCAACTTAAAGAATTTACATTCAGAGACTTAGTTGCAGTCAGAATTAGATATAAGAAGGAAGGCAGTGACAGGGACTTGGTTGTATGTTCGGCTTACCTTCCTTACGATTCAAGAGACCCTCCTCCGTCTAAGGAAATGGGGGACCTTGTCGCATTCTGTAGGGATTCTGGACTCGACCTTGTGATTGGATGCGACAGTAATGCCCATCACGTTACGTGGGGCAGCTCGAACACCAACAGACGGGGCGAAGACCTGATGGAGTTTCTTGGGGCATCGAACCTTGAGGTTCTGAATGTCGGTAACATGCCCACTTTCAGCAATAGTGTAAGAGAAGAGGTTATCGACGTAACACTGAGCACGCTTAACTTAGCTCAGGACATCAGGGACTGGAAAGTGTCTCTAACACCCTCTCTATCGGATCACAGGTATATACTGTTCAAGACTGATGTAGAGATTCCGGATAAATATGCTCGGAATCCCAGGCATACTAGATGGGGGTCCTTTAGGGCAGACATTGACAGTAAGCTTGGAGCGGTCCCATACAGGCTTGGCAGGGGCTCTGACATAGAAGCAGCTGTCGAGTCTCTGAGCAGGGACTTGACGGCTGCATATGAGGAAAACTGCCCGTTACGCAAAGTACAAGGTAAGGGCAAGGCAACCTTCTGGACCAAAGATTTAGAGGATAGAAAACGAGCGGTGCACAAACTTCTTAGCAGAGTTAAGCACAGGAGAGGTTCTCCTCTATGGGAAGAATACAAAAAGGCATTGCAGGAGTACAAAAAGGAGATTAGAAGGGCCTCCAGAGAATCCTGGAGACACTTCTGTCAGTCCATAAATGACATTCCTGCTACTGCAAGAATACACAGAGTCGTATGCAAAGACATTAAAGCAAGATTGGGATCTCTGCATGATCCCTCGGGGGGAAACACTACTTCCGAGGAAGATACTCTGAGGCTTCTGATGGATACGCACTTTCCCGGTTCCACAGTAGCGCGATCAATCACAGAGTGCATGCAGTTGCGCAGGCCCTCAAGGGAGGACTGGCGCACGGCAAGGGAGATTGTCACCTTCGAAAGGACGGTATGGGCAGTAGATTCGTTTGCCCCATACAAAAGTCCAGGTCTGGACGGCGTATTTCCGGCCATGTTACAGCAGGGACGGATTTCGGTTGTTCCTTACCTGTTGAAGGTGTTGCGAGCATGTGTGGCCACGGGCTTCACACCTAGTAGCTGGCGGCAGGCTAAAGTGGTATTCATTCCTAAACCGGGCAGAGATAGATATACTGGCCCTAAGGATTTTCGACCGCTTACTCTTTCATCTTTTGTGCTTAAGACACTGGAAAGGATAGTTGATAGATACTTAAGGGATGGCCCGCTCGAAAGGTGCGTCATTCATGCAAATCAGTTTGCATACCAAGCTGGGAAATTGACTGATCTGGCCTTACACAATCTGGTCGGTAGGCTGGAGAAGACTCTAGATCAGCGAGAAGTGGCACTCGTGGCCTTCTTGGATATTGAAGGTGCATTTAATTGCACCACAACCGGCTCTATCAGACAGGCCTTGGTTAGACACGGGGTTGGATCAATCCTAATAGATTGGGTCCTCTCTACTCTGGAGGGTCGGGTAACAACAGCTATGCTGAATAACGTAAGCTGCAGCGTGAACGTAGCTAGAGGCTGCCCTCAGGGCGGAGTTCTGTCACCCCTACTGTGGTGTATCGTGGTGAACGAACTGCTCGTTAGGCTCAGCAGTATGGGTGTCTACGCGCAAGCCTATGATGATGACGTAAGCATAGTGGTTAGGGGGCGTTTCTGTAGAACAGTCTCGGAAATTATACAGGGCGCTCTGCGCTCCGTGGAATCGTGGTGTAGGGAAGTCGATCTTTCTGTTAATGCTGAAAAGACCGAGCTGATCCTATTCACTAGGAGAAGAAGGCTTGACGGACTGGTCATGCCGACCTTCTTTGTGACTAGATTAGTTTTGTCCCAGTCAGTGAAATATCTGGGAATTATCCTGGACTGCAAACTGAACTGGAGAGAGCATGTGGAACACAAGGTTAGCAAGGCTCGCAATTCGATGTGGGCTTGTAGACGTGTTGTCGGTGTAAGGTGGGGGCTTAAACCCAAAGTGGTATACTGGCTCTACACGACGATAGTACGTCCATCTCTCTTGTACGGCTCCCTGGTCTGGTGGCCTTGCATTAGAACTGAGTCAACTAACGCCAAACTCAATAAAATTCAGCGTTTGGCCTGTATTAGCATTACAAGCGCAGTGCGAACAACGCCATTGAGTGCAATGGAAGCTCTGTTGGATCTCCCACCGTTGGATCTGGTGATCCGCGGTGAAGCGAGAGTAGTCGCTCATCGACTGTGGAGTCAGGGCAGCTGGGCTTTCTTGAATCCGGTCAAGGGGCATACTGCCATCTTAGTCGAATTAGAAAGGGAGGACCCCGTCCTTCTAAGCAGGGGTGAGATCGTATTACCCCTAAATATCGCTTCAACCGCAAGTTTATTGTGGAGTACCCAACGAGGGAGGAGTGGGACGCCGGTAGCCGAGGACTCTCCGAAGTGAGCGGGCAGGTCTGGTACACGGACGGCTCGGTCACCGAAGAGGGCTCAGGTGCTGGGGTCTCTGGACCTAGAACTAGGCTATCTCTGCCTCTCGGTGAGTACACCACCATTTTCCAGGCGGAAATCTTTGCGATTCTGGCTTGTGTATCTCACATTCTGGAGGAGGGTGGGCCTAGGAGAAGAATAACAATCTTATCCGACAGCCAGGCTGCAATGAAAGCACTAAGTGCATGTAAGATTACTTCGAGTCTTGTATTGCAATGCAGGGAGGCTCTGGATTGCCTCGCAGCGAGGCATCCGGTATCGTTAATATGGGTACCGGGGCACGCTGGGATAAGGGGCAATGAGACGGCGGACACTCTGGCGAAAACAGGATCAGCCAGCAAGCTCGTTGGTCCTGAGCCAGCTCTAGGAGTAACCGCGCATAAAGCTAGGAGGAAAATGGAGACGTGGGTTGCAAGACAACACTCTCAGAAATGGAGAAGTATCTCTAGACATCTCCGCCAGGCACGAGAGCTCATTGAAGGGCCCAGTGCTAAGGATGGACGCTTCTGCCTATCTCTGGGTAGAGCCAACCTAAGGTTGCTGGTGGGACTGTTGTCTGGCCATAACACGTTAAGGCGGCACCTGCACGTGATGGGGGTGGCTGAGGATCCCTTGTGCGAACGCTGCGGAGTAGAGGAAGAGACCTCGGCGCACGTTTTGTGTCGCTGTGAAGCTCTGAGCTACTATAGGCAGACTATACTGGGGTCCATTACTTTGGACCCTCAGGACGTAAAGGAGCTTGGACTCAAGGCGATTCTCAACTTCGCTAAAAGGGCGAGGCTTGTGATTTAAGTATTGTAGAGGTGCATAAGGGCCCGCTTAAGCGGCCTATGCACTGGCTCCTTATGGTGGCCGGGATGCCTCTAAAATTCAAGATTCATTCATTCATTCATTACACATTACAATACGCTTCCTTCAGAAATAAAAAAATTACCGGGACGAAAACTTCGTGTAGCACTAAAAGGGTATTTATTACGTAGCAACATGACATTTGCTAATCATAAAAGTAGATATATAAGTCAGTGTGTAAAGTTATCCCTGTTCAGCTTATTGTTTATATTATACCTGAAACTCATATGCTTGAATACTATGAATACATCAGTCAAGCATATGTGGTTTCATTTAGCGGCCAGACAAACATGGGGGATTGTTTGTTTATTTTCACACTATTAGTGTACTATATCTAGTTAATCTCGACTTTTGTGGATAATGGTAGTTTGACGATAATTATTATTATCTTAATGAAAAAATGTATATGTATACCTTTTTTATAATTAACCGTCCCATATGTTATTGCACATTCACCATTATTTTAACGTCAAAATACAGAAAAGTACTGTACAAAAATCTTGTCAAAAAAACATGATTTAAAATTATAAAAAATATATATACCATCAATCGAACTAATTAACATGAAGCAATCACTATGCATTAGCCAATTTCTCTCAAACTACAGCAGATTTGACAAAGTGCTAAGTCATGAGCTGGGAGGTCAAGACCTACCCACAGGACTTTTTTGAACAAAATCTGTGTTCCAGGCCTGGAGACCCCTCCTTGTAAGTGACCCACCTGACTCAAAAGCTAGTTTACCCCTGTCGCACAATCCCCTACCCTCCTAACAGGAGACTATACTAAGGTGAAGAAAACTTTCCTAATATATTATATTCAGTATAGTCATTTTAAAATTCTTGATATAATCACGCAATATATTTTGATTTTATTGGACACTTCTTCAAAAAAACTATTTTTCTTTAATCTAAAGCTCTATAATTACAGTGAATTATCACCAAATCATAATCAATTGGCAACATTAGCCTAAAGTACCTATTTGAGCTCTAAAGATACTCAACCCATTATCACATTTACATTATCTACATTTGTTTGTCATTTTCAAGTGAAATCTTAGTGCACTTTCTAGGGCATATGTCACCAACTAGTGGAAGGTAGCCCTTATAACAAAAAATATGATATAATAATGGGATACAACTTGATGGTACTCATGGAAGATCAGAAATACCTTTATTAGCAGTCTGTGAATTATTTTCTGTGATTTTCATAGGTTTTTGTGGTTTGTTGGACAGTAACTCAATCGTGACACAAGCCTTGCCTAGTTTCTCAAAATAAACTTCCCAAGGTGAATTTGCCTTTATCTGGACTCCATATTTATGTTGTGCCATCATTCTCATATCATTCATTCTTTTCCTAAAATTAAAAATGACAGCTAAATCTAAACTTGCACAAAGTAAAGGCTTTCATCTCCTATTTTACAAGAATATAGCTCATTCTCAAAATATGTATAACATAAATGTGAGAATTTATAAAATTACCCAAACAGTTTCCCAGAAATCATGGTGCTTTTGACTCCATTATGGTCTATCACAGGGCCACACAAGAGAAATGTGTGGGGTTTTCTTAATGGACTTTGAGAAATCATGATCTTATTTTGATTTTGCACAGATGAACATTTGCTGGTGAATTTTTGTATTAAATTATCTGCAACACTCTTCAAAATCTGTATCCTTAAATTTGTAACATCCAAATCACCTATTCTTACATCTACTGATGTAGTTTCTACAGAGATTTTTGAATCAAATAATACACAAAACCCATAACGTTCCTGACTAGACAAAACTTCAGAAATAGTTGCCATGAAAGTTTCACCAGATCTAGTTAAAAACATATGGACATCACTCTCTATGGGTTTAATATCAGCTATACTAATACCCCAATTCACACTCTCCGCTTTTAAGTGATCTATGTCCACCTCATTGTAATCAAAAATTGTCTCTAAATCTGATACGTCTTTATTAAGTAAATTATGCCAGTTCTTGATTTTCAGAGGAAAACTGATATCTCCAAGAGTTTTCAGTTTTTTTGTATGTTTCCTGATTATATTGTGATTATTTTTCTCAGACGACACCAAGTATTTTTGTAGCTGAAAAAGAAAAAACTCCAAGAGATACATCTTATTTCATTATTAAATCCGAATTCAATTTTTTCCATAATCAATTACGCCAAACATAGGTTATGTTTTATGCACAAAAGATATACAGATATACACATATACACTGATTTTTCTGGTTTTGACATGGAACCATAGAACATATTTTGAGAACGTACAATGTGATCCACAAAACATATACACTGATGTGATCAACTACCAAACACTCAAAGATCGCCAAATCAGTCACAGAACACAATAGTTAGAACCAGCGGGGTGAAACTCAATTTGGCGAACAAAGCAGTGTTGCTGGTGCTTGGTGCATAATATGACAACCATGTTGCTCCGCTCCAGTTCACTACGGGATTCGGGAAAAAATCTCTAATCTTATTCACAACTGACGTTGTCTGATTGGCCAGATTTAAATTTCCGGCGGGTTTCTTCCTGTGCTCTGTGCTTTGCAAAAAGAACCTTACTTTTTCAGCATGTCATTTTCTTAACCTTGCATTTTAGTTAAATAAAGTCCCTATTATGTTATTTGAGCCATATGCATTTTGTTCGAAGTTGTGAAGTATAACAATGTAAGTACACAGAGCTGTAATACCTAAGTTTGTAAATACTATAAGACAAACTCCACATCAAAACTGTTTCATTTTTAAGGTGATCCAAGTCATTAGCCAGGCTTCTGGCAGATCCTGAGGAAGATCAGAGATACAGCGGTTACTCATTTTAGGAATGTAATATTTGAAGATCGTACCTGTTTGTATCTCCACATCACTTGAACAGTGGAGTGCCACGAAAAGTTCAATAGCTACTGTTGTCAACCCCTGAGGTCCTGAGAATTATCAGAAGCTCAGAGATTACTTCTGATCTAACCAAAAGGCACAGCTCTGAAGAATATTTGCAGAACATAACATTTGTAAGCTTTTATATGACTCAATAACTAGTGATGATTTTTACTGCTTTTTGTCCAAGTTAGTTTTCATACTTTGTTTCAAGTCAGTGATTGTCAGAGCAGTAGGGTTGATATGTAAAGCTCACTATAATGTTAATGAAATCAAAGCCAAGTATTGTTATTGAACTACAACATGGGTGCCCCCAGGAGGGCCATGGTACAGTTATCTCTTGATGATGATCAGCACATTTGAGAAAAATTGCTGTGGGTACCCGTGGACAATCATGTTATTATTCTAATAAAAAAAGAAATCTGTGAATTGTAGAAACATAACACAATTCAATGTATTTCTAATTTTTGATTTATGCAGATGCCAACAAAGGCTGGGGATTGCAAACATCTGGACCATAATGATGTTAATACTGATTTGTTTGTAGAAAAATTTATGAGATTTATATAACAAATATATATTTAGGTATTTGCATTATGTTTTTCTTCTGAACCTTTCCAGATTAGCAAGTAGATATGAGTGATCTTATAACAGCTTGGGTTATTGACATTGCTATTTTAACATACAAAAAAAGCATTTATTCGTCAAGATAGCACAAAATGTTAATAACACAAAACACATGCTATAAGATCTCGCATATCCTACCAAATTTCTATATATAGAAAAGTATAGCAATCTTAGATTTATATGTAGAGCTGGCAACGTTGCGGGATACTAATGTACAATCTGGCAACCATGTCGCACCCTGAAAAAATGACCGCTGACAACCAACCATACAAGTCTGTTGCCATTGAATAAGCATGGAATTTCTTGTGTATGTTTTGTGGTTAGAGCTGATATAATCCACCCAACTGGAACCTCGTGCTTGCCATCTATAAAATGGTTAAAAATACTTTTCGAGCTCATTTTCGAAATACCTCAAAAAATCACCAACAACGTCATGGGCGCCCGCAAGTTCCCCTGGAATACGATTGGATCTTTGCATATTTAGCATGAGTTTGTGTAAAGTTTTGAGGATTTTTAGGAGTTGGAGCCTCCTGTGGAAATCTGCTGTCCCCCGTTTTTCAAAAAGTTTTGCGTCCACAAAAAATTATGTTGCCGATGATCCCGTAACGACGACACAAAGAATAATGGTAATCTATTGGTGACTTCCAAACGTAGCAAAAAATCGATTTGACATCAACTCGCATCACGACAGTGATGCACATCAACACGTTTGCCACGTCGGGTCATCGTATAAGAGAATAAGCAAAGATGTACACAAGCGGCACATTTTATTTAATAAAAAAATGTTCTAAAGGCTACATCTATAAAAACATTTGCTGTTTGAAATGGAATGCAATGAACACATTGTAAGTGCGGCAACGCTGTGGTAGCATTTGGAACATTAAAAATGTGTTGTCATATTTTGGCATTTATAGGTTATGTCATATAATTTTAAAACAATCTGGAAAATGAATTTCAAATTAAAACGTTTATCACTGATCTTATGATGTGACGTGTTGTTTAAACACGCTTGAAACAAAGTATTGTTCGGTCTCAAGATGTGGATATTCGGTTACGGGTCTTTAATTTGGAAAATTGATTTTCCATATGAAGAGAAAATACTGGGATACATCAAAGGCTACCACAGACGGTTCTACCAGCACAGTACGGACCATAGGGGCACTCCTGATCAGCCAGGCAGAGTCGTTACCTTAGTACCTGCAGAAGAGAATGAGAAAGTGTATGGTATAGCATACAGAATAAAAAAGTCTGACATAGATTATGTAGTCAAACACCTCGACTTCCGAGAGAAAGGTGGTTATGAAAGAAAAACTGTGATGTTTTACCCTTGTGACCAGGAACAAAAACCTTTTGAAATGGTGATTTACCTAGCAAATCATGATAATTTCAACTATGCAGGTTCAGCAGAGTTGAGTGAAATAGCCAAACAGGTTGTGAAATCTGTTGGACCAAGTGGGCCTAACATTGATTATGTCTGCAACCTAGCCAAAGCAATGAGAGTATTATTCCCAGAAGTTTATGATGAACATCTATTTAATCTAGAAAAAATGGTTTTAGATTTGTCTAAAAATAATATTTGTAATGCGTCCGCCAGCTAATGTGATTTTTTATCCATAAATAAATTATACATGGTAAAGAGTTTATATTTTTTCCTGAACACAGTAATCAAGATAAAGAATAAACAATCAATCACTTATACGTCAAATTGTTACAAAGCAGCCTTACAATCTGATTGAGAACAGTAATAATATATAAGTAAATCATTACTTTTTGAAGAAACTGAAAAGAGAATATTTTTCTTTTGTGAATTGTATAGCATGACTACCAAAAATCTACCAGCCCAGAAAAGCTCTCCTCATTATTAAATTAACCATACAAATGAACTGAATGACAAAATAATCTCAGCATGGCCATTTAAAATGTCACAATTACAAGATATGAAAGTACAAATTGCAAGTGAACTATTCAATTAACTCTTGGAAAGTAGATGATGAGAATAATAGCTGGTTTAAACAACATTTTGATAGTCAAGTATGAGAGTATTTCATGAATGCATTATTTATAGAACTTACCATAGTCATAAGCATAACAAGCTGACCTTCAGCAGATTTAACTCTTATCATATGGTTATATGCAAATGTATAAACCAGTCACAATCCTAAAATTAGAAATAATAAACACCATTCTTATACTGTGAATAATAATTTATTTCAAAAATAAAACTACTGGATGGAGAGAATACTTAGGAAATTGCATGAATTAAAACTAGAAATATATCAACAATGTTTTAATGTTGTTATTGACGCTTTAAATATAACTGAAAAACTGTCATATTCTCGCCAAATAACGTTAAATCACAACACAAATTTTACGTCAATAAACTAAACAATCTAATATGTTTATATATTATGTAGAAATATGAGTTTAGTGATGTCAGATTGGGAATAACAAATACACTGCATCATTGATTTTGTTCCATAATTTTAAGCAATATTTTCAAACTAATCCTGTTAGATAAGTTTATGATCTTGTGTCTGTTATTTCAAGTATCTGACCATGCATATGTTTCCCATTCTGATATATTTATTAAAAAGTATATCATAATGAGTTATTACGGACTTCCTTTCAAGTGTTTAATAACCCAGTGCCACATAGTATTCTTGCAATACATGCTTCACTGATTTAGTTTAAAAAAATTATCATTAAGTATTTTTGTTTGAATGTTTCTTAGACCATAATCAGTGGAAAAAGTCGCCCAGCAACTTATACATAATATGTGAATCTAAACTGGATTAGACACAAATACATAAAAAAGTGGGTCCATGCAAATAGACTTGATAAACTCATCTTTCTACAAAAGCATTAAGAGAAAAAATAATATTTTACAAATATCTAGGTATATCCTTATTTAGAAAGAAGCGCAGAGCTCGCGTATGAGTGTCTGTGAGTCGGTTTATGTTTAAATGTTTATCGTATTACCCTATGGAATACCCATCCTATTGGTTTGCACATTGTATACCGGGACCCCCGTGAAAATGCTCCTCGTCGTCGCTAGCGTATGCTTCGCCCCTGCCAGAGTAAGAACTCCTATCGTTCGGATCAAAGTCCTGCAAGAACATATTTTAAGCATGATTTGGGTGCAATGGTATGAAGATCAAGTAATATGTCGATTAGTATGTTGTCCAAAGTACAGCAGCTAGTAGTTGAAGCAAGACGCCAGATGTAATGCTTTTCAAAACCACAATAGACTGCATTATAATCATCACGAATCCAGGCATTCCGAATTTTTTCAAAATAGTCAGAAGCCGAAAACTGGGAATTGATATAAAAGTGTTTTTTTTATACCGCATGTTCCCTTAGTCAAGAATTTCCTTTTCAGAATCAAATTGTTTAAAATAAAAAAACCCTGTCTAGTAAAGAGTAGCAAATGGTTCATCTGATACGAGGGTACATTATCTATGTCTCCTCCTATGCCCACCTCGAAATTTCTAGAATCGACGTTCATACAAGATAAAAAATTTACGCGCGCGGGATGGAGTCGTTCAGGAAAATAATCCAAATATACACTCGCGAAGCATCAGCACCATCTTGAAAACGGATAGGAATGTACCATTTTCGGTTTTGTCAAATCGAATTATAAGCGACCAGCTCAGGTAACCTCACGGCGAGCGATGGCTGGATTGAATACTGATGCACGTCACATCTTGCATTTGGTACATATTTTTACAGACCTAATAACTTCTTTTTGTTTTTTTTTTTTGGCGTTAGGACTAGGAGTCCATGCAGCCAGTCACTAGGTTTCTTATACATATAGATTTATAACACATTGACGCCACAACATCCATGGCTTCGGAATGTGATTTCCGAAGGCGAGATTCGAACTCGCGGCCCGGCCGGCCGGCTGATCAGTAGCACGACACTCTGACCCACCCGGCCAACCGAGGTCCCACCTAATAACTTGATTATCTCAATTCCAGTATGATACTGAAATGGTATATATATACACGAGTAGGTACTCAAAAATAGCCGGAATAGCATTGAAGTGGGCGGAGCTGTTTTGTGCTTATTTCGTTTTTTTTTACGATGGCAAGCTTCAGTGAGCAGCGTGCAGCTGTGAAATTTTGCTTACTAATTGGTAAAAATGCTATTGAAACTGTTTTAATGTTGAAAATAGCTTACAAACATGATGCTATGGGAAAAACTCAGGTATACGCGTGGTTTGCTCGATTTAAAAATGTCGACATGTCGATTGGAAGTCCATCAACTGCCCGAATCGACGAAAATGTTGAAAAAATTGGAAAGCTTGTGCTTGCAGACCGTTGCCTGACAATCGATCAACTATCCGTAAGTAGTGGGTTGTCGTGGAGTTCGATTCAGCGAATTTTAACAGAAGATTTGGAACATAAAAGGGTTGCTGCCTCGGGCTCAGACTGACAATCAAAAAGAACACTGAGTTGAAACATGTCGTGGTTAGAAACAACAGCTTGAATCTGATCCAAATTTTCTGTCAAAGATCATCACTGGTGATGAGACTTGGTGCTTCAGTTATGACCCAGGAACGAAGAAACAGTCAAGTCAATGGAAGACCCCATCGTCACCCTGTCCAAAAAAAATGTCAAGTCAAATCAAACATCAAAACAATGCTGATATGTTTTTTTGATGTCAAAGGCGTAGTCCATTCCAAGTTTGTTCCCCCAGGTCACACTGTCAATCAGACCTTTTATTTGTAGGTTTTAAGACGATTGCGAAACAGTGTTCGGCAAAAAAGACCCGATTTGTGGCAGTCAGGAGACTGGTGCTTCCACCACCATAATGCACCTGCGCACACAGCAATCTCTGTTCGACAGTTTCTAGCTAAAATGGTTCAGCTGGCTCACGCACCTTATTCGCCTGAACTGGCTCCGTGCGATTTTTTCTTATTTCCACGGATGAAAGGACGCCGCTTTGGCGACATTGAAGAGGTCAAAAAAAAAAACGAGGGAAGAGCTGTCATACATTTCTATGGAAGACTACAAAAAATGTTTCGAGCAGTAGAAGCACCGGTGGGACAAGTGTATTAGTTGTAGTAGACAGTATTTTGAAGGAGATAAGGTAACTTTGTGAAAAAGTTGAAGATTAATAGCTTTTGAAAAATAATTTCTGATGGTTCACGATGTAATTTTACTTTCGTTCTAAATATTTTTAATCCATTTTGTTTTGTTCCTGACATACAGCTGTGTGTATTTTATATTAATTTTAACGAATGTACCATGTATCCAGCTTTCACCAGGCTGCTAAATGTTTCCCTCAACTTAAATGTTAATAACATTTAGCAACAATCTCACATACTATTCTCCTGATGAAGATGGCAAAGTCCATTGAAAGCTAGAGACGTAAAGTATATAAAGAGTCCTCATTGCTTGAATTTTGTCTCAACCAAAGGCGGAAGCTTTATTTTTTATTTTTCACCTATATATATACGTAGTCGTGCCATAAGTTCTGTCCCATGATAATCTCATGATAAAAATGAAACAAGATAAGATATATTTATATGAAAGATATTATTTATTCGACAACATTTTTAGAATTCATAATCAAACAGTTTTATTCAAAATGTCCCCCCTTGGCCTTCACACACTGCTTCAATCTCGCGGGCCACTCATCTATCACTGCACGCACAGCTTCCAAAGGAATAGCTGCCGCTGATCGGATCAAATCCGCTTTCAGGGACTCGATATTACGGTGGGCTTTGGAGCAGGCCAACTGCTCTAGCAGGTCCCACAACTTGTAGTCTAAAGGATTGAGGTCCGGACTCCCTGAGGGCCAATCTTCCGCAGCAATGAACTCTTGCACATTGCTTTCCAGCCAGCGCTGCGTACTCTTAGCCTTGTGAGCGGGGGCGGAATCCTGCTGGTAGACCCAGTGTTGGTTGGCAAACAATGTACCACTTAAAGGCTTGACGATAGGATCCAGTATGTCGCTCTGATAGTTTGCCGCTTTTGTTTTCACGCCCTGTTTACAGAAATGGAGCTGAGTGACCCCTTCGTAGGACACCCCCCACCAAACCATGACTGACGCAGGGTGGTGGCCTCTCTCAACTCTCGGAATGATCTCCGAAGCTTCCTGTGAACTCCTTGCATACACTTTGTCATTTTGTCGGTTGAATTTTTCTTCTATGGTGAAGATTTTCTCATCCGTGAACAAAATCTTTCGGAATCCCCCAGCTGCGTACCTCTCCAAGAGCTTCTTGGATCTTGTCGCCCTGATGTGTCGCAAGGTGGCCGTAAGTCGCTGGCCCGTACGTCTCCGGTAAGCCCCTAGCCCTAGGTCTTGTTTAATGATGCGCGACATCGTCCGGACAGGAATCTTCATTTCCCTGGATAGGATCTTCTGCTTCCGGAGTGGATTCCTTTGAATCCTGGCTTTTACGGCTTTGATGGCTGCTGGAGTCCTTACTTGACGAGGTCTTCCGCTTCTTGGCCTGTCATCAACAGAGGACGTCTGAATGGTCCTAGACACAAATTTACGCGATATTTGAAGGCCGCGTAAGAGTTCAAAAATCTGACTAGCACTGTGATTACACTTATGTAAAGCTATCACTGCAATACGGTTCTCTGCCTTGCCCCACTCCATCGTTATGCTTCGAGAGATCAATACAAACTGAGGTATATGTAATTACCCGAAAAGCGCTTAATCAACTGACACCACAATGTAAACAATCGGACAAGTATTAACAGGTCTACACTTGTTTGAAAACGAGGGACAGAACTTATGGCATGACTACGTATATACAGGGTGACTTCGAAGTTGAGTCATTTATTTTAACAGTGAGTAGATCTGATCAAAAGAAATGTTTTTTTCCTTTACCATTTTTCTGGTAAAATTAAAGTAACAAAGTTATAGCCCTTTGAAAGTTTGAGTACCGCCCTGTCTCAATAATAATATCATGTGCTCGTGTTTGGCAACAACGGATACAATCCGCCTTATCGGTTCATCGCATCGGAAACAAAAAAGCGAAAGAATTTGGAACGATGTTTTTACAATTATTTTATTCAGTTCAGTTAAACATACAGTCAGTGTCAGTCGAAGGATTTATCTCTGGTCAGTCGGTAACGCGTGTGAATAGTGTATGTTGCGTGGCTCAAACGAAATAAAAAATGGCACATGTTTATGCGGATCGGTTTCCCAATCGAGTGCAACCAACCCCTTTGTTAATGTAGTACAACGGGCTCGTGAATCAGGTGACTTAAGACCTCACAGGGGACCTCACGATCAAATACAGGTCCGCACTGAAATACTTGTCGGGAGGATACTTTATAAAACAAGGTAATTTTTTTTTTTATTTTTACACACATATTTTGGTTTATCTTCCTTCTACAATCATTATCTGAAAATTAATGACTCAACTTCAAAGTCACCCTGTATATATAGTTGGGGTACACATGTAGATCTTGAGAAAATAAGCGGATTTTCTTAGAACCATATACACCTATGTCGTAAGAGAACCGAGATATTGGGCTCCACAAACTCGATCAAACCTGAACCTAACTGAAGCCGGTCCTATCCCTCAATCACGTCCACAGCGCCAGCGCCAGTGTGCAGTTATACGACGTACGACTACGATGTAAATGCGCTAGTATGCATCCTAACCTAGACGTATGTGGTAGAGTAGGTCAACAAACCATTACATTGGTAACCGATTGCTGTTCAAAAAAAAATGGCACACTCATACAGCAATAGCGAACTAGTCGACATGCTGTTAATTTACGGTGTGTCTTCAAAATGCGACCGCGGCTTCGCGAGTGTATGCAGATCGTTTTCCCAGACGTCATCATCCAAGGCCCCGAATGGTGCAAACTGAGGAAGAAGTACTGAATCTCGTAGAAGAGAATCTTTCAACAAGCACTAGGGACGTGGCTAGACAAGTGCAAGTGTCGAAGACCAAAGTGTGGCAAACAGTGCATGATGAGGGATTGTACCAGTTTCACGTGTAACGTGTACAAGGGTTCCAAACTGAGGATTTTCCTGCAAAAGTGCGGTTTTGCGAGTGGTTGTTGCACCAACATGACAATAATCCGGACTTTTAGTCACAGACGAATTAACATTCACGCGTGTGGTCAGTCACGCTGTCCGTCGGTCTCTCTTTCAACAAACATTTTCTGTGAATGTTTAGGGTGGCATGGTAAACGGCATGCTCAATGGACCATTTATTCTCCCGAATCGGTTGGACGGGATACAATATCTAGACTTTTACAGAACATTTTACCAACCCTGCTAGAGGCTGTGCCTTTGAGTGTAAGACAATCATGTGGCTTCTCCACGACAATGCACCGCCCGATTTTAAACACGAAGTGCATGAGTTCTTGAATGAATCATTTCCGAATAGGTAGATCGGACGCAATGAACCCGTAGCATGGCCTCCGCGAGCTCCAGACGTAACACCGTGTGATTTTTTTTGTTTGGAGCGAAATGAAACGCTTGGTGTACAAAATGAGGTGCACACGGTTGACGAATTACGTCTGATAATTGAGCAAGCTGCTGCATTCATTTGGGGAAGGGACTCCACTCTAAAAGCCAGCACCGATGCTTGGCTATGTCGAGCACGCACATGTATTTTGAATCCAACGGCGACAACTTTAAGCAGTACTTATATAATACGTGACACACATGATAAAAAGTGACACTGACATATTTTCGATCCCTTTTTTGTTATTTTTGTTACATGTGCTCCTCGAATTTTAAGACAGAGCCGTACTTGGTATTTCAATTCAACTGAACAGTGAGTACTTTTTCATTTATTTTTTTGTACTTGTTCGCTCACGTTTCACTACACATTAGCTTTGTTATATTAATCATAGTTGTGTCTGAAAAGGAAAACCTCAACTTTGCGGACACCCTGTATATAATCCCTTACTTTTGCACTTTGGAGAATAATAAGTAAATCAATGTCATACCTGTAAATCCACCTCTTCAACTTGTTCCCCTTGAGGCATTTCAAATGAAGGTCGTGGAGGCAGCAAGGTTTCAATTAATTTGAGGTTCTCCTCAGTAGTGAAATGGTTCTCTGGAAATTTGATGTTGAAGGAGATGTACATGTTGCCCTTCTCAAATGGATTCTTGTATATTGGCATACCCTCGCCAATCACTGCTTTTACATCACCTAAATCATAAAATACAACCTGTTTCAATAATCTTTATAAAATTATTATTGCTGTTAAGTCCGTAATTTCTGAATATCTAAGGGATTTCATGTCACTGACTATTATTATAAATGGGTGATATGTTCAGTGTAGACAATGAAACAATGGTTAGTGATGTTAAATCACTTATTGTTAGTAATAAATATTAGAAATGAATATTTTTTAGTGAAATAAACTGGGAATAGTAGTTGGCTACTTACCGGGCTTGATAACGTCGCCAGGCGGGTGTTTTACAACAATATCTCTCCCATCCAAATGACGTACTATAAAAGTAAAACCACATAAAGCTTCTGTCAAGGAAATGGTATGTTTCAGATGCAGATCGTCACCATTTCTTTGGAACACATCATGAGGTTTCTGTTGCAGGATGATCACCACATCACCAGGCTCAACATCAGGTTGCTGGTCACCCTCACCCCTGAGTTTAAAAAAAAATTATAGATGAAGCTAAATGTTAAAATATACATATAAAAGAAAAGAGACTCAAAAACTGAATTCCACCGGGAAAGAACCTGATATTTAGACCATAATATCTATCTTGACTGTATGCTTTAATCAGTAAGTCTGTAAACAGTTAATACAAAAAGAGGTATGTACCTGAAAAATATTTTCTGATTTTCTCGCATGCCTTTGTCTACATGCACCTCCAAGATTTTTGATTCATTACAGACCTTCTTGCCTTTACAAGTCGTACAACGATCTTTCTCTTTAATAATCTCTCCCTCCCCTTGACACTCAGGGCATCTTGATTGGGTCTGCTGCGCCATTCCTAGGGCAATCTGACGGTACGTCACCTGTAGAAAAAGGTGTATATTTACATTACTTATGAAACTCTTTGACATCTGACATATTAATATCATTATGATGAAAATAGGAAAATATAGTCAATCACGCCAGACGTCATTTGATTTAGTAGAGGCAAATAGTTGTTACTCAAAGGAGGTGGGCTCATAAGAGCCATTTTTCGCCCATCAGCGAATAGATGACTTGTATCTTTATGAAGAGTATATACTCCATAACAAAGAAGAAAACATACTTATTTCGAATGAAAACTGAAAATCGTGGTATACATAAATTAAATAATTATCTGAGTGTTATATATGTTTATTAAACAATAATAAAAGACAATCAGTTTTCATACACTTAATATATTTTTTACTAATCTTCTTCCTTGTCTTCTTCTTTCGAATCACTATCAGACCATCCTTCAGTATCATCAGAGGTACTTGTTGAAGTAAGAAATCTTGCTGTCCTTACAGAAGTGGGAGTCTTTCTAGATTGAGCCACGCGGAATGCATATGATCTGCATTTAGGACACAACTTAGAACTAATCTGCAGATCACAGTTTTTAGATTTTCTAAGTATTGCTGTAATGTTTTTGTTCGAGCAGCTACGGAAATCACTGTTTGTTTTTCGCCATGTTTTACAACAATCACACTGGCATCCAGGCATTATTGTTTTATCAAGTGTTTCAATAAACGTTGAACGCGACAGCACAGCACAGTTTCTATATCTCTACTACGTAAATACTTTTCGAGCGCGAGAAATCATGTCTGAACACGAAGCGATTGCAGCGTGACTCACTCTCCCGCAGCATTACGTACTTTTGGATTGATGCGCTCACTAAACCAAAACAAATAAATACTCATATACAACCTTATATTAAGAAGACTTACTGAGCATTAAAGTTAATGTGATTCATGGAACGCTTCGTTCGGGAAAACATGATTCAAAGGTCGAAAAACAACAAAAATGCACAAAAAGCGCTAAATACTCTATTTCTTGGCAATAATTTCTGAAGGATATTACATTATTTTTACCGTAAATATTATATAATGAAAAAATACACGTCTAGAAGTTCATAAATAAATTCAATAATAGTCTGGAATCGAACTTTTTTTTAGTGTGTTTTGAGCGAATAATGGCCCTTATCAACCCACCTCCTTTGTCGACTCGGCAAAAGGTTATTGCCCAGTTAGAGGCTGACTGATATCGATATATATCGCCCTAACTTGTCGATATAAAAATTGTTCAATATGAAAAAAAAGATGTAAAAGCAAAACTTGACAATGGCTATTGTCATTTTCTGTTTAGTAAAATATCGACATGTGTTATGTTAAGCGCGTCCTAAAAATTCGAGATCTGATTAAAATGTATTGCTTTAGAGTGAGGTTCCGTGAGCTCTTTAATATTTAAATACAATTTCTTATGAAAAAACATACGACCCTTACCTTCAGCCCACATCCATTACATCCACGGCACTTCTCGCTCTGGCCTGACTTGCTGCCTTTGCCTTTGCATGAAGCACAAATAATGCTCTTGCTCAGCTGCAACTTAGCTGTCTTTCCATTGTACATATCTTCTAAGGTGACCTTAAGAGGATGGATAGTATCCTCTCCTCTCTGACGACGGCGCATGCCTCCGCCACCGCCCCCAAAGCCACCAAAGAAGCCCCCACCAAAAAGATGGGAGAACACGTCATCGCCTATCATATAACACGAGATTTAGAATCAGCATCCTTACAATTTACTTAATGATGGTAAAGCTTATCATTAGAGACCGGATTATATGCATTTGCATATTAAGCCTATTTTCACTGGTTGCATATTTTAACAAAAAACTAGAGACGTTGCATATTTTTGCTATAATTACTTACTTTTTCCGCATGTTATCTCGATAATAAGTTACATTTTACGTTGCAGCTAGACAAATTTGTTGATCTCATGCTTTTGCGCCAATCGATAAAGTTCCCAATAAAAATTTTAGTAGATAAGACGTTCGAGTGAATTGGCGCCTACATCCTATGAACGTCCAGCCTAAGCAGTCAAATTGAGAACTTTATTAATGGTACTGGTGACGTTTTGCCAGAGACAATAAAAGCTAGCATAGCACCCAGATTCAAATAATGTCCAGTCACCTCCATGGATGTGGAGCGTTCTTTTTCCACCCATAATAATATTTTGAGTGATCAAAGGCATCGTCTTACCGCTGAACATTTGAAGGAATACCTTATTGTTTGTTTACAAAAATAACAAGATGTAAAAGTATAAACAGCATTATTTTATTATTTAATTTTACATATTTAGATACTTTCATGTATATTTTAACCCTTGATCAAGCATATTTCAAGCTTTCCATGTTGCATATAATCCAGTCTCTACTTTTAAACTATTTTCAATAACAGTATATTTAATTTGTAAACAACTGCTTGAAAATAACCTTAAAATATTATTTTTTTTCAAATGTATGCAGCTTATGACAATGAGATAAAGAATTTAAATGTGAGCTAATAGTATTCATTTACCCTGAAAATTAAGGCAATAGCTATAAAAACTGGAACATTTCTCCAATAAAGCAATGCAAGATACATGATTCTTGTTGAAGTAGATGAATTGTAGATCTACTAATTTGTTTAATATGTTATAGCCTATATATATATATATATATATATATATATTACCAAAATTATCCATTATTATAGGTTTTAAAAAGCTAACCTAAATTATCTGCCACAGCTATGCCATCTCTAGGTATTGCCTACTTACATATGTTTTAGGAATATGATAATTTGGTAAACAGTAATAATCATTCATTATGTCAAAGCGGGTGGAGAGGACCATCAAATCAATCGCAGCAGTTGTGGTGGCAGGGATCAGGAATGTGAAATAACTCAGAACTGTAACATGTCAGGTCACTATATTACGCTAAGCTTATTGAATATTTTGTGTAAATATGTTCAAATCCTCTGAATGGGATACAATACATGCTGCAATATGATTTTTAAAAACAAATGGAGAGGTACTGTAAAGGGAAAAACATAACCTATCATATTAGTGAATATTTTATATTTACTATACTTTGTGTAAAAATTAAAGCCCTTTTTTGTTTCAATGCTGATATTTCCCCATGGCCATATTATGACACTATAAGCAATGCACAGTTTATTGCATATTTGCACTTGCCACTTTGGTTATACACCCAGCTTCAGTTAACATTTATAACTTCTCATTCATCATTTATCTTTCATTGAAAATAAACATTTAAATAATTAATATAGGATGCCATGAAGCTAACTCAAAAATGCAATTTCATTAATTGGACAGGTACTCCCATTTAATGATGTTTTGTTTTGAGTTTGTGTCACAGATGTTTTGATCAGAGCTCTTATTAAATCACTTTGTCCATTTGACCTAAACTCTTCAAAATCTCTCTCATGCTATGCTATCACTAATTTCTTCCCTTTTTTCATAGTTTGAGGTTGATAGTTTAAATCTCGTTAATTCTGTATGTTATTATCAGACTCATTTTTTGTTCGAGTATGCAAGTTAGTTTAACATACACCATAGCCTTTCAATGTACTTTAATTTGATTGTATTCAATTTCAATGACAAACAAGTCGAAAATTGTTATCAAAGCATCTAGTTGCTAAGAATAGTTATGGTCACTAGGTGGGACTGGCATGACTCACACAACTACTTTATTTTTTCATTATGATTGAAATAATTCTCTATAATACCATGTGTATGCAATTGTTGCAAGAATCGCAAGAAAAAAATGATTTTAAAGATTCACTTGAGTAAATGTTGGCAATGAAATAAAAAAAAACTTGTATTTATTCTATTTGCATCAAGAATTACAACATTCCTGGAAAAGGATTTCTCTCAGCAGAAGTATAATAGCTGCATACATAAGATTTCTACAGGGTAGTTCAAGAAACATCAATAGCCCTGTTTATGCTGTGGCTTGCTAAGTCATAGAACTCTGCATTTATGCAGCAGTGTGACCCCTATTCACATCACATACTCTTGACAGGTGGTTAATACAAAAGCTGCACTAGCCAAGCCCATATTTACACATTAGTAAGCTATGCATAGCTCACTAAGAATCTTATAATGCATAGCCACAGCGTGACCAGACTGAGATTTCATTATCTAATTGGCATAGCAGTAGCTAAGTTGGTCTTGTATGGAACTCGCACCATGAGTCGAACAAGTTGATGATCTATCTTCATAAAATCTGCTTTGTCTGTGATCTAATTTACACAATTCTGGAGGGCAAACTGACAAGATATATGTTCCAGATAGAACTATCCAGCAGATAATTGCCTGACAATTAACATAAAGCTAAATGGTTCATTGCAGGGTTCAGGATTTTATTAGAGAGGATGAGATAAAATCAGCATTTTTACACAAATGTAGAGGTTTTAGAAAGGATTACCTTGAATAAAACTAATGCATTTTATTTATAAATAAGCTGTGATTATCATATAAGTACCATGAAAAAATACATTTTTGACTACTATATGTGCTCATCGAATTGGGGATCAGAGTGTAAGATCTCATGCAAAGCTCCAAGGCTATTAACTAATAGCCAAAGTCGAAGCTCCCTTTGTATGAGGGACCTCTTTTAAGTTTTGCATATGGAAATAAAACAACACAGTAGGTAGTTTTAAATGACTTTATTGTTTTTCGAAGTATTCTCCACGATGATTAATACACATCTGCATGCACTCGAACCAATTTTCGAATCACATATTCCACTCGTTTGCTGTCAGATCCAAAACGGCATTTTTGAATGCATCAATTGCTTCTTCTGGTGACTGGAACCTTTGACCATGCAGTCTGTTTTTAATTTTCGGGAAAGTAAAGAAATCGTTAAGACTTAGATCGGGACTATATGGAGGATGGTCCAATAATTCCACGTTATCTTCCATTGAATATTGCCTTGTTTCTTGGGCTGTGTGCGAGCTTGCATTGTCGTGATGGACGATGATTCTTCTTTCGGGGCTGATTTTTCGAAGCTCAGTGACGACTTTTGGCAAACAAATGGTGGTATACTGATCCGCAGTAACAGTTCTTTGGTCATTAAGAGGAATTTTTGCAATGTGACCCGCTTTTGATACTAATGTCGCGACCATCTTTTCCGAAACACTTCGAGAATGGATGACTTTTGTTGGCTTTTCTTCACCTTGAGACACCCAAACAGCCCACTGTCATTTATTTTCTGCTTCATAACAGTAAATCCAAGATTCATCACCACTAACAATGCTGTATACATTTTTGAGTTTTGGAAATTGAAACGGTCAAGCGTTTTTTGACACCAATTAACCCTGGCTGCTTTCTGCTCTTCAGTCAACAGGTGGGGTATCCAACGAGAAACTAATTTTCTTACTCCTAATTCATGTAAAATTTTTTGACTTTAGGTCTTTGAGATCTTCAAGTACGCCTCAATCTCGCGATATGTCACATGTCTATCTTCAATGATGAGTTTACGCACAGCATCGACGTTTTCCTGGGTGACTGCCGTTTTTGGTGCACCCATCCTGGGATTGTCACTAAGACTCACCCGTCCACATTTGAATTCTCCATACCAACTGGAAATTGTTGACTGATGTGGCGCTTCATTGCCGAAAACAGACAGTAACTCAGCAAGGCATTCTTGTTGCGATAATTGTCTTTGAAAGTTGTAATAAATTATGGCTCAAAAATTTTCTCGGTTGAGTTCCATTTTTCTAATGACTTGGTGACACTTAAAACTTCACTGTAGTTAGAACACTGCACGTATTGTTGTAAAACTTTGAATTTAAGTTTACTAAAGAGCGAGGTTAAGATTCAGTACTGACGTTCGACCCGCGCGGCCTACTATGTTTCTATATGCAAAACCTAAAAGACATCCCTCGTACAGCACTTGACAACCTTTCAGTGACTGTGTCCAAGGTTTGGCCACACAAGTTCTGATCATTGTGCTACACTATTTAAATAGAATTAACATGGCTGGATGTCAGACACAATCACCAATAAGCCACAGACCACTGTACAAATTAACAATATGTAAGACCACACCATTGATGCTCCCTAAAGTTGCCTCAAGTTTAACATAGCCACAAGGTACTTGAAAATTCTGGACCATCAATACGGAATAATTCGCAAAATTGAAATAATCATTCAGTACATATTTGCAGTATATTAAATAAAAGCAAGTAGAAATGTTAAATTGTTTACAAGGTTAGTCCATGATACTATCAAAAATGCTTCATCATCATTACATTACTATCATCCAAATTTGTATAATTTTCCATAAATAAATTACCGTTAATATCTTATACTATTGGAAAATTGAATTTTGCAAACGTAGACTGACCTGCAAATCCATCATGCGCCCCCTCCTGTAGACCTTTGAGCCCGAACTTGTCATAGGTGGCCCTACGCTTCGAGTCCGACAACACTTCATAGGCATAACTAATTTCCTTGAACTTGTCGCCAGCTTCTGGATTTTTGTCGGGGTGAAACTCCTTCGCTAACTTCCTATATTGCTGCGGAAAACGAGGAGAAAGAACTGTTAAGGCTATACTCTCGCCACTGACCTTTAATTTCGCTGGTGACCTTTGGACGTCTCTATAGAGGGCTGTCGTGATACAGTGATGATAAATATTTACTTAATGAGTTGCTGCATGTGTTTCTCACCTTTTTAATTTCATTATCGGAGGAGTTTCTTGTTACTCCTAGGATTTCATACAAACGGTCGTCTGCCATCTTTCTAAACAAGGAATGAAAAGGATTTCTTTGCGCCTGCGTCAACTTTTTCACGTCAACGTCAATTCGTTAATCGTTAATCGACTCTGCCAACAGTGCCAACCTGCCAACATCAAAATACGAAATGGACTGAATGGTAGGTGGCTAGGTGGTAGGTGTCCATTTGCGAGAAAAGCTTTCGCGAGTACCTCTCGAAAGAATTTCTCGTAAATGGATACACGTCTGAGAGTAACTCTCGGAGATCAACCGGTTTTCTATCTGATAGTAGCTGCGCAGAATTCTCCTCTCAAGTGTATGCTTGTTAATACCACCATTGGAGAGTAACTCGCAACATACGGAATACGTTTCGTATTGTGATAGTTCTCGCAGCGATGGTTTACATTTTTTTACTGGGATTGAAACAAAATGGCCGCTGAAAAAGAATGGTCAAAAGATGCTGCAAACAATTTGACTTGTCAGTTCTTGAGTTAGTGTAGAACATGATCCTGATTCAGACCTTCGTTAAATCCACGGCTTAACCCAACAACTTCTTTTCCTTTGCTGCTCTTTTTTTCTTTTCAGTAAAGTATACGCAATAATAGGGGACGCAAACTTTTGTTTATTCATGATTGCGGCCATCGAATTAATTTACTATCATCGCAATTCACTTCAATGGCAGTTCCTTGCTAGAGAACGTAAAGGAATAAACCGCTATCTCAAATGGATACAGTTATGAGAGTTATATCGGATAGTATGTTTCTAGTGAGTGTCGATTTTCTAACTGAGAGTTTAAATAACTGAAATTGGTCTCAAGAGGATACGCCAATAAAAGTAAATGTCGTGAGAACTCGCAACATTTACTCTCAAATGGACACGTACCTTTAAAGATTATTTTAGAAATAAGAAATATATTATTATTATGATAGCCTTGCTTGTTGCTGGTCAATAATAACACCCGATGATGATCAAATTCAATTTAAAATCTGAAATATGCATATGATAATATTTTCTAGTGTTGCCGAGCCTACCGATTTTTCGGTATTTCTGCCGAAATGAGACAGCGTATTATGGAAAACGTCATTTGCCATTAGCTTGCACCAAAAACAAGCTAAAATACACAATATACATAAGCATTCACTTAGGGCCGTATCGTCAGTCGTTCCTATAATTGCAGCACGCCTTTATGGGCTCCTTGTGTTTTCTCTCCTTCAGAAAGGCTGGGGTATTTCCAGATTTCTACTTTTCTGTCAGCAAAATAGAGCGCTGACATGGAACAGTAGAAAACTATGGAAATCAAGGAGCCATAACGACGTCCTACAATTGTAGGCGCGACTGAAGATACGGCCCTTAGTGTACGTTTCCGATATGAACGAACCCGAACGCATAGAGGTTCGCTTGACATGAAGTGAGGCGAATAGCTCCAAGCGAAGCGCGCTCGTTGTAAACATGCACTTAGGCAGCCGGGCACACGGGGGATGTAGATTTGAAGAGCCTACAATATCGCATCGCCTGACAGCAATAAGGAAACAAAATATCGTCTGTATTTGATTGTATATAAAATCAAAATGTCAGGTAATAAAGCTTCCAGTTCAGGAATCAAACAGAAAATTTATTCAGAATCTCATAAGCAAGAATGGCAATTGCCATTGATGATGGTTGCAAAGGAGAAGAGCGACCAGTATGCTCACTGTACAAGTTGTAATTAGATCTAAGATCTTAATATTTTTTCAGGAACAGATGCCCACAAAAAAACTTGTGTTGTGTATGTGCGCGCAATACAAAAATGTACATTTTTCATAAAGGGCGCTGCGTGATTCAAAGCATGATGCATCCCTGATTTCAACTGCGCGTTGCGACTTTGTGTTTCGTGCGAGGCAGCGAGGCACACACTGGAAAGCACCTATGAATCACGTGTGCAAACGTCACAGGTCACACTTGTCAAGTCAGATCCGGACCGGCGATCTCGGAATCTATTCAAATTGTGCAACAACAGCGGAAAGTTGAGGGAAAAATCACAAACCATGGCTCTTTCAAGGCTAGCGAGCAGTCGTACAGCTGCCAGTTTGAAGACGATCTGCAAAATATACAGTACCACCTTCTCTCCGCGTGTTGCTACAATGGTACGTAGAATTGAACTTGTTATGTCATCGCATTTTCAATTTTGAAATTGTATTCTGGCTATGTGGTACACAACTATTCAAGAAATGAGTTGCCCAGGTTGTCATAATAAATGTGTATCATGTTCAAACAGAGAGCTAAAAGGAAAAACTGCGGAAAGTTCAGTCGGCCACGATGTATGTATATAAGCAAGCTTTGGCACCTATTCAGCTATATAGTTTAGTAAAAAAAATGATTATGCAAAATTGGCCAACAAACTAGGTGAAAAAATGTAACCTTACTTCCAGAACAAGTCTTAGGTCTGAATAGAAAATTCACAGAATCTTTGGTTATTGATACCTAGTAAATCGGTGTCATTTTCTCTACTCATTTCCAAAGTGTTTTGACCCTAACTTACATAAGTTTTCTTAGAATCCTACATCCTACCAGAGGTTCAAACTTTGGATGCCTTTTTCTTGATTTTATGCCAGGAGCGAGATTATAGTGTGATACTGGGTGCTAAGATGTAGCAAGTAAAAACACTATTGTTTTAGCACTTGCTAATTGGGCTTAAACTAAGTTTGTCACTAAAAACATATCAGGAAATAAAACACGGATTTGGAAAGTAATGAAAATGCACTATTGGTATTATAGAGTGAACTGTTACGATTCATGATTTTTTTCTCACCTCCATACAAACAATAATCTACTTCTTTGTAGTTTTTGGTTCACAGCTAAAGTGATACTTCAAGAACAAAAAAATCTACTCTATTTTCTGTTGTGAATACCTAACTTCTGTGTTATGAATGCATGAACTATTACTTATTTCTGTGTATCCTCATGTATTGCCTGTGTCTTTGCTTAGGTGTGTTAAATATGTACATATCCCTACAAACAATAATAATATATCTTTATTTCAAAATAACAGTGCATGATTACTATGTATTACACACTGTTAGGTTAAATATACATCACAGAGTCATCGAGACAGAAAAAACAAAGAGGCAAACATGTAACATAATAGAGATTTTACATCTCAAAATATTCTAGAAGGTTATATCGTTCTAAGTGCATTAACAATTGATAAATACTCTTTTTATATTGTTTTATATCTGCCAACATTTTAATTTCTTGTGGTAACTTATTATATATTTTAGTGCAGCTGTAATTGACATTTTTTTTCGGTAACCGTGAGATGATGGACTGGATACAGAAGATTTATATTTCTATTTCTTGTGTTATAGTCACTTCGCGGGTTACCGATAAAATGATAAAATTATCAATATTTTTAAATGTAAAAATTAGAATCTCTTGAATATATATTGTGGCTACAGTTTAATTACTCTTAAATTTTCCTCTGCAAGTCCCTCTAGACGAAATTTTTATGATGCATCTCAGCACTCACTTCTGCACTAGAAAGATCGTATTGTTATGGCTACTATGTCCGAAAAAAATTATTCCAAAATGTACAATGGACTCAAAATTCGCGTAATATACCATTTTTAGAGTCTTAAGGTCTAGGTACTTACTTAGTACTCTAATGTTATAACAATTTTCCACAGTCTGATAGAGGGACTTCTATTCTTTCTGCTAAGGTGATGTTTGTAGCTTCGATATTTTTTCTTAACTAAAAAGCAATCACATTTGTTTTTAAGGTATTTAGGGATAATCCATTATGAGCAAACCGCAAAAACGCTTTCTCGCATAGGCTCAAAGTTCTTTTAGCTAAATGGTTGAAATCTTGGCCGGAGACTAGTACCCTAGCATCATCAACATATTGGATTGTGCATACTTTATTTAGGCTTGTAATACTAGCACACAGATCGTTCACAAAAATCAAAAAGAGGAGAGCTCCTAAGATGCTACCTTGTGGAATACCTCTTTCTACCTTTAACTGTGAATATATATTACAGGTTGCGGTAGAGAGGATGGACGGTTTTCAAAAAATCGTAAAGTAGTTAAATTTTACTCGAAAACAAATTTATTGATGGAATCAGGTTCACAAGGAAATAGAATTTGAGACAGTCAAGTGTGGAAAATCACATCAGGCATGTGGTGGCCGAAATAGTTGATGCAGTGCTGGAGGCGTTCTTGGAAGTTCGCGTAGACTCTCTCCAACATCGCTCTCTCAACTTTTCATTAGCCCAATAACGACAATTCTGCTGGTTAACCATGCTGTTTAGGTGAAAGTGGGCTTCGTCACTCAAAAACAAAATGAGGTTCTCATATTGATCGATCAGTGCTTCCATCTCACGTGCGAAGTTCATTCGTTGTGCATAACCTGGGGGCTGCAACTGTTGCACAATGGCCAATTTGTAGGGGTGAAAGCGGATATCCATATGCAAAATTCGCCTTACCGAACAATCACTAAGTCGAAGTGCAGCAGCATGTTTCCGGGCAGATCGAGTCGGACTGCCAAGAAAGGCCTGTGGAACGCGTTCAACATTTTCAGGAGTTCGAACTGTTCGCGGCGCTCCTCTTGGTCTTCTGTTGATCAGTTCATCACGCCTGCGAAGTGATTCAACCCAACGCAGGATGGTGTTTCGAGAGGGAACAGCTCTATTCCGATGAATGAAGTGGCGACGAAACACGCTGTACGACGATGACTGACTCATTATTTCGGACGAAACAATCATAGGCGAAAACGCGGTGCTCCACCGTCCAAGGCTCCATAACGACAACTGGTAAAATAATGCTAGGATCTCACGAGTCAAACGGCACCTTCCCCACCTCTCTCGTAGACGAAGGCGGAGAGTACTACCCATCCCAAAAACGTCCGTCCTCTCTGCCGCACCCTGTATAAATAGAGCTTATAGACCCATTTCAATTCAACATTTATACTATACTTTTCTCATTTAGCATACCACTGCATAGGTAACTGTTTTTTATCATTCCATTGTCATAAAAATGTCCTGCATCTGTTTAGAATTTGAAGAATTATCTAGCAATTCAATTTGTTGCAGGCTGAGTATCGCATTGAAAAAGACACATTTGGTGAGCTCAAAGTACCAGTGGATAAGTACTATGGTGCACAGACTGTTAGATCAGTTATGAATTTTCCAATTGGAGGTGAATATGAAAGGATGCCGGTAAGAAATTGAAAAAAAAAATTATATTTTTGTTTCTATCAAAGATAGCAGTTAATGAAAATTATTTTATTATATATGATTAGCATGTGAGAAAAAAACGTGTATGAAAAATTCTATCGAGTAAAAATCTTTATCCTTTATTAACTAGTTTGCGATTTTTTTATTTATCCAGTATGCTGATAATCCCTCGTTTGAGTGTCCGAAACAAACCACATTTGTTTAAAATTCTCCATTATTGTATGATGTTTCACTCCCAATGGTGACCTTGAAGTACCTGTAATTTTACAAGTAATTTTAAATATATGTTGTTCGATTTGGTCAGACAAACGTAGGGGATTATCAACTTCAAAACCACACAATAAGTTCCAGATATTACACTATCCAGTATGTATGTTAACCATAATGTAGTGGTAACCAGTCATAAGTTAAAGTGAAAATCAAAACTCGAGATGCGGTGAGTTCTACTTCGTTCAAAATGCTGAGTATCGTGTACTCAGTCAGATTCGAATGCCAAGTACAGGTTCTCGGCCCAGTATCTGGCCAGGCACTCGGTGGTGATCATTTCAGATACTGTTAGTGATAATTGGATATTTCCTTTTTTAAAGGTCCACCTATTTTCTTGATTTACTTTTCCAAGAAAATGACGCACTTCAGTTGTGCAGCTTAGCCAATTTATTTGCGAATGTAGCATCATTGAATATATCGTACACCACTTTTAACGCGGCGTGTCTTTAAATATGGCGGGACCCCCGCGCTCCGGCTTTGCCGATTCAAGGGTACTCCATAAGATGTGTTATGCTATTCTTTTCCGTTTTGTTACGCAAGTATAGGTATATATATTTTTCACTGGAATTCAACAGCTATAATATGTAATTATGGAATATTTATATTTGATAGACTTTTCAATCCTTCCTATTACAAGAAAAGCACATTGGTAAGACATTTGAAAGGACACACTCGACATCTTAAACCTACATTTTTCTTGAAGGCAGGTAATGGGACATTCCAACCTGCTCAAATGACGAAAAATTACCTAGCTAATAGAATCGCAGCCTTGGCGCGTTGTGGCCATCACGGACATTGAATTTAAATCCTATAGGTTTTCAAGCAGACTTCGGGAGGAGGTTACAAAATAAACACACAACTGCTGGCTGTCGTGGCAAACAATTTTAATATGTGAAAAACTAAGCATAAATTATATTTATGTATGAGCGAAACGCGAAATACTCGCCATTCACGTTACTTTTCGACATTTGCTACATTCTGTTTACTTTGTTTTGTAGTTTTTGTTGTTTTTTGAGTGTTCATAAGAAGAATAAAAGAGCAGATAAAAATGCAAAAATGCGATACTGCAGAATTGTTTTAGTTTATTCTGATATGGTAGCTGTTCCATGGACCCTATTTTTTATATAAAAAAACCTAATAATTACACCTTGTATAAAAAATAACCCAAATATCGCAAATCCACTAGCTTTCTAGAAAAAGGGGTCAAAACATACTGAAAAATCATCCAAATCAGGCAACTCCTCACTCTATAAAATCCCAAATAAGACCTAGCCTCACACATTACCCGTTCTCGATGCTGTTCAGAGGAGGTCTGTCCGGCTGATCTATGACTCTCCTGTAAGGGACAGTCTCGGGTCCCTTTCGCACGTTCGGGCCGTAGGTGATCTGGCTCTCTTCTACCGCTATGTCATAGGGTGCTGCTCCTCAGAGCACTCCTCCTTGATGCTGCCGCCTGATGAGCCTGCCAGACGGACCCGCCTGACTTCGGCCTCCCATATCTACCGCATCGAATTTCGTACATCCAGAACTAGCCGGTACGACCGTCCCTTTTCTCCCCAGGATATCGAGAACAATCTGAGTGATGAGGCTTTTCCCAGTTCTACTGACATCAAACAGCTCAAAAATCAGATTACAAAATTGTCTTTAAACACTTTATAGCAGCCGCAGTGCCCAGTACTTAGACCTGCTGCAGTATAGAAAAAATCTAATAATAATAATAATATGATGTAACCCTTGCTATTTTTAGATGGTGGGTTAATGTCTTGGGAAACATATCAGGAAGATTTATGAAAAGTATATGAGCTTCAAATTTGCACGTCACATATAAAATTCATTGATTTACATGAGTTGTGAGTATTACGTGCAGGGGCTTGATTCTAAATGAGTTTCGACCATTGAAATTGATTACGATGGCGCCTTGTGACGATATACTTGATTAGCTTTGATAATTTTGACAATGCCATGATAATTTGAATATAGAAAATCAATATAACCAGATGTCAAAATTATCATAGCGAATCAAGTATATCGTCACAAGGCGCCATCGACATCAATTTCAACGGTCAAGACTCATTTAGAATCAAGCCCCAGACCGAGTAATTACCCGGCCGAGTAATTGAGTACTCTACGAAACCGGGTACTCGGTAAAATGGCCCTAGTATCCCTATTACCCGGTGCATCCCTAATCAAAACTATATACTGGCAGACGAAAAATAGATAATTCAATAGATCATTACATTTAAGAGCAAAAGTAATGTTTTTTCAGCCTTAAATTGATATTCAATTAAAATAAAATGTTGCCTTGTCCTACAATCGAATAGTGACGTGAAATTTTAATTCATCTGAAGAGATTCAGGTCAGTGATTTGCACTAACCGTGAATTTAATTTTCATAAATTAAGAGGATAAAATGGATATAGAAAAAATATTCTTGTGTTTCATGTAGTTATCTAAAAGCCAGTTCCAGTATTTGGTTATTACAACATAATCCAGTATCATTCTACCAAATGTATTATCATGTTAAAAATTGTTTATTGTCATGATGTAACCTTGCAGATTAATCTCCCCTGGACTGTTATTGGAAGATTTATGAATATTAAATAATAATGTTTTTATTTAACATATTTCAAATATTCATTGTTATAGCACCTGTTCATAGGAACATGTTCAACACATTTGTAGGTTTGTATGAGGTAGGTGTTGAACAGTGAACCTCATTATTAGAAAGTTTAACATAAAGTCTCTAGAATTCCGAGATATAGAAAGTAAGAAATCAAATTCCTAATATTATTGAAGTATTTCTTGCAACCTCAGGTTACTGCTACAGCACAATGGAAATGATATGTAGTGAATCATTCAACCGTTGTGAAATCAACATCTTAAATATAGATAAATAAATAATTGGCACTTAATCCCACTCTTTAACTATTACCAATATGCCGATACTAGAGCACCGAGTACTTGATTTGTACCCGGTACTCGGCTTATCCAGCAAATTTTACCAAGTTTTTGGTTTGATCGAGTATGTACTACATTACTTGCCCGAGCCGTTGCTCGATCTGAACGCAAGCATCCATAACCTGAGTAGATCAAGAGATTGCATATGTAATGAGTGAAATTTGAAGTATATATGCTTTTCTCAACGTTTTCCTGAGATACACGTATCCTAGAAATAAGTGCGCCACAAAAAATAACCAAAAGTTTAATTTTGCCAGAACCAGTTGTTTGAATTGGAAGTTGTTTTTTGTGATGAAATGATGGATTTAATGCTTGACCAACGTGAGACCTCAAGTTTCTTTATTTCAACAAAAATACTGGACTAAGATGTCCATCATATGAGCTATTCAACTTTGATTTTACAGACTTAAATAATTCCTACTGAACCTGTCATGTTGATATTCAATGTTATCATGCTGTGCTTTGGAATAGTTTTATCCTGTTTCAAAAATGATCGGAAAGTGATAAAATATGATTTTAATGCCAACTCAATATTGTAACTACTGCATTCCACTGGGTGTTTCGGGTTTTATTTAAAAAACGGTTGCAGTGGTCCGTGTATATAAAAAAATTACCTTATCTACCAATACCACTAACCAAATAAATTTATTGGAGATGACAGCCGTTCAAATCGTCCAATTTAGACAGATGATTCCATATCCAAGTTTTAGTTATTTTTTGGTAGTGTGTTAATTTCTTGGACAAATATGTACCCGTACATACAAATACACAGACACACACACTTAGACGACCATTTAAAAATTCAAAGTTAATACGTAGGTATCAATTTCGCTTAGTAATGGAATTGAAACAGTCATAACAGAGATATCTCAGCCGAGTACCAGGTCGACTACTCGGCTACTTTCAAAGTTGACCAAATATCAGATACTTGGCTTTTTGAAGAAAGAAGTACTGTGTATGCATGCCAATACACCCAATGAAATATTTTTGAATTCGACTATTCCTTCTAGTACCCGGTGATTACGGCCATGGGCATACTGAAAAAAGCCGCCGCATTAGTCAACAAAGAGTACGGTCTGGATCCGAAGATCGCCGATGCTATTTCCAAAGCCGCGGACGATGTCATCTCTGGAAAGTTATACTGCGACCATTTCCCTTTGGTCATCTGGCAGACAGGGTCTGGTACCCAGACCAACATGAATACCAACGAGGTCATTAGTAATAGAGCCATTGAGATACTTGGAGGAAAATTGGGCTCAAAGGTAGGTTCAGTGACATGTTTCATTCAAGCAAGAAGACTCATCCAGTTGTGTTACACAAGCAGTGGTGGCGCTGGATCATACGAGGTCTGTAAATCAAGTGATGAGACTGATTTCTTTAAATTTTTAATTCAAATTCTTATTATTCAAATATAAATACAATTTTATATTGTCACCCTCAAAATAACTTCCTTCTGAAGCCACATAGCGCTGGAGACGGTTCTTCCACTCATAGCAGTGCTGGAACTCCGATACTGGAATAGCCTTCAGATGGTCAGCTACAGCCATTTGAATGTTTTCGACTTTCCAAAATGAGTTCCCTTGAGGTAATTTTTCAACTTTGGGAAGAGAAAACAGTCACAAGGACTCAAGTCAGGCGAAAAAGGAGTCTGAGAAGCCACAGGTATGTTTTTACTGGCCAAAAACTCGTTTACTGACATTGCTGTGGTACAAGGAGTATTATTGTGATGCAACACCCAGTAGTTCTTGATCTGATGAACGGTGGTGTGAGTCAAATTCAACTCTTCCCCGATCATCCTGACTGACAACCGACGATCTGAACGCGCAAGATCCCGGAGCCTGTCGATATTTTCATAGGTTCTTGGAGATGAAGGTCTTTCGCTTCGTGGTTCATCTTCAATCGACTCTCTCCCTTCTGAAAATGCCTTAAACCACCGAAAAACTTGGGCTGTTGGCAAAACAGACAAAACACTATCTCCGTAGCCCTGCTGCAGTTTAGCAACAGTTTCCGTTCCTCTGTGCCCAAGTCTGAATCAAAACCTGATAGCACACCGTTGCTCGAAATTGATGTTTCACAAAAAAAAATACTACAGACAACCAAATGACTCGAGTAGCCTCAAACTTGTGCTGAAGGCGGATCACATGTTCTCTTGTCTCCCCTTCAAGCCTGGCGCCTCCAGTGTTGCCAGATCGAAACGCTACGTTGCCAGTCTCATCACTTAACCTATGGACCTCGTGTATGGACGTCGATGACATCAGTTTTGACAGGCCCCTTCCCTTTCCTAGTCATGAAAAGCTAATATTTAGTATATGCGTGTTATAGCTAATCAAATGACAAACATTAAATATACAAACGCAAATCAAAATAGATGAACTTTTCTGCTTTCAGCCTCACTAAACTGTTTGAGGATTGTTTCATAACTAACACCAACTGCTACTTTTGCTTCAGTTGATAGAATTTATAGAGCAGATAGTATCTTGGCTGGTCCTGGTTCTCAAGTATGTCTCAAACAACTTTATCTCTAAGAAGTTTCTTTCAATAGAAGCTGCATCGACTTGAACTGTGAGCATGATTTTGATTGTTCCAAATTATTTTCTATAATGTAGTTGTCTTGCATCATTCACAGAGTCTGGTGAACTGGATTTTAAAAACATATAGGAGTAAAGGCTTCACTATTTTTCACTTTTCCAAAGTATTGTACCCTAGTCGTTACAATGTTTGATAAGGTTTTCAAGAGCACACATTCTCTTGAAATTATGACCTTGATTCACAGGAATATGTTTTAGAGTTTTAAATCCGTCTGTCACTATTCAAAATTTTGTGGTAAATTTAGTACGCTAAATTTCGCACAAAATTGAGGACCGTGTCAGACAGCATTTGGTACATAATTTTGTATGAACAAATTGAGTGAGTGCTGAATTTTTTAGAACTTGTTCTAAATAATATACTTAAATTGCGCAGACGTCTACCTCGCATTTAAATCAGTACAATGTCTGATAGAAGCGCTTCGTGGAAGGGAATTACATGTTTAGTGTTGACTTGTCCATATTTTCTAGGTGTTTTGTGATGATTAGATGAGATGCTAATTGATTGACAAAAATAAGCACTTTCATCAGTTGTTGTGATCAGTTGTGTTCATCAGTTTCGAGGAACTCTCCTGCTTATGCTATATGCTGTTCGACTTGTAGATTGAGGATCTTAAAAGATGTCATAGTCCAGCAGTGTGACATACATGTGTATGAGAAATATAATTGTTTATATGCTGTAAAAAGCAAGGCATATAAAAACAGAAACGCCAAATAAACTGCTTTGGATAAAATCAGATTGACTTTGGAACCAACAAAGCCTCTAAGTCAGTGGATCCTCAACCAGAAGTTCTTTATTCAGCATCTGGAGCACACCCATTTCCCGGTCCCTTTTCATGAGGTGGACAACTAACTACAACTCAGATCGCCCCATTTTCTTTCTACAATTTCCTATTCACTTAAAGTAATAAAGTAGCAAGCCGCAATGAAAAGAGTGGTTAGTATGATTTTGACGTGATGATTTCGTACAGAATTTATTACAAAAAGGTCTTTACGTGAAAGACAGGATTGTAATTGGTAAACAAGTTGGGAACTCAATTCAGTAACGCATTTTTTCACAAAATTTGATATCAAGTTATGAACAAAGTTTTGTGACAGACGGCCTTTTGAAACAAAGCATAATGTATATACAAATTCATTATGTCCATTTTTGCTTTGACATTATTTCTTTGTTGTTTTGTTATCGTTAATAACCACCCATAGTTAAAAAAACCCATAGTTTTGAGCACATACAGCTATTGAATTAGCTAGATGCTTCATGATAATGTATTATACTATATAAAAAATATGTTATACCACCTTGTTTATAAAAATAGTAAATTTTCTCGAATAAATGTATTATGAACTATGAAAAATTAACCACACAATGATAACGAAACTGACATTTACAGTCGGTGGCCAAAACCTCCTTATCTGTTAGCTCGTTAAGGTATACAAAACTTAAATCATCTCTAGGATGTTTGCGTACCTAAACAGAGATAATTGAAATATCGTTAGTTTCCCTCGCGGTATATTTTTTTCAAGTTTATGTATTATTAACCTAGGATTGCCCGTTGGCCCAAAAATAGAATATTTTTATAATTTTCTTGCGAGGCCCCCTTAGGTTGCTGATGCCTAACGCCGCCGCTGTACAAAAGCTTTTCTCGTCCTAGCTCTTTTGTGATAAGACCATTCGAGTTTTTTTGAGCAATACATTGCTGGGGTGCCGGCTGCAGGTGTTTCAGAACACCGTGTGTGTGAGAGGTGAAAATATATTAAAAAATTGAAATTAAAAAAAAGCCGCGAAGTTTGATGGTACTTTTTACCCACGTTCTTTATATAAAAAAATAGCCAGTTCGGATCGATAACTTTATGCGTCAAGTCACTAGATACTGTTAAGTGATCTCAAAACGCATTTTTTTTTGTCGTAAAGGATCCCGTTCACCCAAACGATCATGTGAACAAGTCGCAAAGTAGCAACGACACGTTTCCGACTGCCATGCATATAGCAGTAGGCATGGAAATCGAACACACGCTGATGCCTGGACTCAAACAGCTCACCGAGTCCCTGGAGAAGAAGGCCAAAGAATTTGATAAGATCATTAAGATTGGCAGAACGCATACGCAAGATGCTGTGCCGTTGACGTTGGGACAGGAGTTTAGCGGCTACGTGCAGCAAATGAAGTTCGGTAAGTGTCAATTTGAAAGCAGAAATAGTCATCACAAAGTACCATCGAAATCCAATTCCACCATCCCGAGATCCTTGAACCAGATTTAACCACGGGTCAACGGTAGATCGAATTTCACCCATGACCGACTTATGATGAAATAGAAACTGCCAAGCATCAATGTCAGTTGTATTGAATCCCAATAGTTGTTGTGTATAGGTGAATGATGCCATCAAAATGTTTTACAATCATTTTCTGTAATTATTGTCCGCCATACGAAGACGTTTGAACGTCTAGATAGTCTTGTTACCCTATGCGGCCAGGCTTACCTTTTTATCTTGAAATCGTTATTTTATATTATAGATATATTAAATTAGTACCAGTGAACATAAAATTGCTTTTCAAATGTCATGCAGTATAGATCATTTCCATATGGCGTCAGGTGCTGGTTTCCTATTGGAGGACAAACACAAATGGACAGCCATTGCAAATGCAAATTAACTCCACTATTTTTGCTTATATCTTTTAAATTGTTGGTGGAATAGTCGGGAATCTGTTGGAAATTGTTACTGTCATTTATTTATTTGTGGAGAACTATTGAAATACCTTCCTTTTTGCCATTGCGTCCAATGAGGGGGAACAGAAGTATGTATTTTTGCTGTTCTCCAAAAGTGACGATATTTATGGATTAAAACATTGAAAACGATCTCTTGATAGAATAACAACCAAAATATGCAAGAATTTGTTCCCGTCATTTTATAAAATTAATAATAAATATGAGCTCCAGCAGATTTAATAGTCAACGATGATCCTGATTGTTTTTCCGCAAAAAAGAAAACATTCCAATTGGTCTACACAAATAACTAAATAACAGGAACATATTTCCATTGAGTCTGGAGTATTTGCATCAAGGATTTACAAAAGAATAAGCAAAACTATCGGAGCTAATTTACATTGAACAACCGGTTTATGGTTGTCCTCCAACAAATTGGAAGTTCCTAGAAGCATAATCATCTATTTCCTTAGGCATTGACAGAGTGAACGCGACTTTACCCCGTCTCTACATGCTCGCCCTTGGTGGAACAGCGGTAGGTACTGGCTTGAACACCAGAAAGGGCTTCGCAGAAAAGTGCGCCGCCAAGATTAGCGAACTAACCGGGTTGCCCTTCGTCAAGGCACCGAACTTCTTTGAAGCCCTTGCCAGTCACGACACGATGGTTGAAGTGTCGGGAGCCCTCAATGTCATCGCATGTTCGCTCATGAAGATCGCTAATGATATAAGGTAATATTGTAAATATTTATCTTAAACCGCTTCTCCGAAAAGAGTGATGCAATAAAATATCTGCAGGCTATTAAAAAAGCAACATCCAATATTTTCATGAAATGACTTATTGATCTGGATATTACTTATTTTTAAGGTTCTTGGGATCTGGACCTCGTTGTGGTCTTGGAGAACTATCTCTTCCTGAGAATGAACCTGGCAGCTCGATTATGCCTGGCAAAGTGAACCCTACACAATGTGAAGCCATTACTATGGTCGCAGCACAGGTAATTGTCGTTGAATAGACGTAGTTTTGCTTTCCTTCAGTATCGTACAATACTTATATTTTTAATTCAGAATCACTTACGAGTCTCAGTTTGAAAATGAGTTGAATATACTGAATCGAGTTTAACAGCGGATTAATGATATACTGAGTTTCAACAATAATACTCGGGTTGATTTCCATTCTATGCTGTCAGTTTTTTCAAATAATCTGGTAGCAAATTTCAATTCGAAGGCAAATAACGCGGAACTATAAACAAGAAGTGTCATCTTAACACAGATATTTAAAAAGTGAACTATATGTAGCAAAAGCAACATTGTCAGCTCATCTCCTTGCTTCTTATGATTGCGGTGTGATCTTGCCAACAGTAAGCCAATGGCAACTAGACTTCATCGCGATTTCGTCCACTTTCGATGTCGTGAAAAAGGTCACTAGGTATATACTTACAAGTAAGAATGCGGAGTACAAAAAGAATAATCTTAATTTTCAAAAAGAAAAGCGTATAAGTAACGTATTTCACAAATAACATCTAAGCAGATCATTCAATGAACATATTATGTGGCATTTCTTTATTTACCATAAAATCTCGTTTTTAGCCACGCATCCTTTCTATCAGCCTTTTCTGTGCAAACTGCAAGATTCTTCAAAAACGATAAACTCTCTCAGACCTCTCATTTGTTTGCTATTAATCTTACTATGAAAATATATTACAGCATTTCGATGGTGGTAGCATTGCCCTAAAATTCATACATACCATTGATATGTCTCTCAACCCGTTATCTCCTTCCACACATACAGTTGTATGCACGCACATACCAAGCAGACTAATGAAAACAAAGCCAGCTTCCATCCATTTCTTTGCAAATCTTACCATCCTTTTCCTTGACCAAAATATTTAGCTAACTCGGTAATTGGTCCAAACTTGGCACCTTCTCTGTCCTAAGCTTTGATGCAGTTTCATTTAGCTCATGCATCGTGAACTCAAGCATATAAGAATGCAATCTGCAATTGTTGTTCAGTAGTCAAATAAGGCCTATCTGTAAACCTTTTCGTAACTATTTTACACGCCTGTCCCCAAATATGATTATCACAAGGTCAGTAGGAACAACTTTAGAGATTTTTAGTTTAGAGCTCATTATCAGTTTTCTCAGATTTTTTTCTGTCCCGTTTACCAACATGCCATTTTTTGGTTGCTCTGTGTCTGCCTCGCTCTCATTTGAGGTTAACTTGGTTTCATTTTCATATTATGTTGCCGTAGTCCAGCTTCAACTTTGGAATGTGTAATGTGCACCTGAGACTTATCATCTGATTTTAATGTTGATAGGATGCCATAAATCATTTAGCAGACTGACAGTCCTATTTTGGAGGGTGTTACTTCAGAAATTATGTACCTATGGTCGCTCATATGTTATCATCTCTAGCCGCATCCAGTTTTTAATACGCTCTATTAAGTTCTTACTATGCATAGCTGTATAAAGGTGCGATGTATGGATTTCTCTCACAAAAGTGGGTCATCACCCATGTTGACTGTAACCAAGGTTTATGGGCAAGACATTTTCCTGTTTTATCAGTGCTTGGAGATCCCCAGATTGTAGACTTAAAAATAAAGTCGCCGCCTATAAGGATCTGGCCAAAGCTTCGATTTATAGAGATCTCTAGATCTGTCAGCGTTCCCTGGTAAATATCAAGTTAGTGATATATTTGGTGAAATGTATGCCAAATATAGAATAAATTTCCCAATTCCAGAGCATCTCCTTTTTTGATTGTACACTTTTGACTTGTTTCTGCAATTTGGTTATACAACCAAATATTTACATACAGGGTGTTCTTTAGTGAGGGTTCTGTCGATAACTCAGTTATTCCCATGTTATCTAAAAAGCTGATTACAAAAAATTGTAGTCAACAGTGTGCTCCTTACTTGGAAAATATTCCACTTTTATATTTTATTGCTTATTTGGATAGAGCATTTCAAACACAGCAACTTGATATAACATACTATAGGATTTTATTTTCGAGTTGTTGAAATATTGGACAAACTATCAAAAAAAAAAACACTCAACTTTGACAACTCACATCTCCGCAACTCTTATAGATATAGTACTGATACACTTCTTGTATCAACTGTAGCTCTCCTAGGTTCTCAACACTGCTGCTCCAACTTCGCTTCAAAGAACACAGAAATGCGATGGAGAAGTACTTAATCGGATAATCAATGATTTTTTGATGATATGATCAGAACATTGGCTCTGGTATCACATTGACATACTGTTGGGAATTTCGAAATGACCTGCATCTAGATTATGGAGAGATGGAAGATCATCATGTTAGCTGTCGATATATATCAGAATTGTCAAATTAATCAATGAGTGTCCCAAAGAAGACCGAAATGCGATGGAGAAGTACTTAATCGGATAATCAATGATTTTTTGATGATATGATCGGAACATTGGCTCTGGTGTCACATTGACATACTGTTGGGAATTTCGAAATCGACGGATCCAACGAAAACTGTTGTAACTCAAAATCCACAGTTTTGAGTAAATCAACTTTAAAAGTTCAAACAACTGTGATAAATCGGCGTTTTAAGTAAAAGTTTTGATACTTTGTTGATCGAATAATCAATATATTTATTTAGGACACATTAATAATTATTACATAATTATAAATAGTTAAAATAAATATTATTCCTAGCTAGATAAACTATAAATATACGGTTTAACAGCATTATCTCAAAACTTGAAAAACTTTAGTTACTACAGTTTCCGTTGGAGCCGTCGATAATGACCTGCATCTAGATTATGGAGAGATGGAAGATCATCATGTTAGCCGTCGATATACAATCAGAAGTGTCAAATTAAGCAATGAGTATCCATGGCTTCGTTTATCATTTACAAATTTTGGTGCCGAAACCCGAAACATACCGTAGTCGAAATTTGATTGAAGTTGAGTGGCTTTTGGTAAGAACACTGACTTAGAAGCTAATTAAGATCCAAAGGTCACTCAACTGTAAACGAAAATTAATCGTTGTAATATCGATTTGGTGAAATTCGGTCCTAGTCTTTAATGGAGAAAATTTATTAGATAATGGGTAACCATGTTGCGGCAACAGTGGGAGGTTCCAATGGGCATTTCGAGCTGAACGTGTTCAAACCCATGATGGTTGCCAATGTGCTGCGATCAATCAGATTGATTGGAGATAGCAGCAAATGCTTCGCCACCAACTGCGTCGATGGAATCAAGGCTAACGACGAGAAGATCAAGAAGCTGTTGCATGAGAGTTTGATGTTGGTTACTGCGCTCAACCCACACATTGGTGAGTGGGAAGTGGTCTTAAAAATTTCGTGTTTGTTTCTTTCCACACTGCGCATTTTCTGATTTTATTGCATAGTTTAGCAGACATCAACCAATATGGTGGGAGTAGGTTAGATAAAATTTACGTTTGTATCTATTCTTTGCATAAAACTGAACATTCAGGTTGTATGAAATTCTCTATCAATTACAAATGTTCGAGTGAGGCACGACAAAATGGCTTTTTTGTTGGGTTACACACTATTTAATTCGGTGATCGTTCGAGAATGCTTGGGAAGTACTGAATCAACTTTCAAACAAGAATCGAACAACATGATGTTTCCAGTGCACTTTTAGATCCTAACTTGAATCAAAATGATGGCGTAAATTGAGTCTTCCATTACACATAGGTAACGTCTTATGTGCTGTGTCAAAACAATTTTATATAGGATTCAAATTTTTTGAAATCTGACTAATCCCAAATACTACTTTTAATTATCATTAAATCCAACTGTGTTTTGTTAATTTGTCAATATTTTGTCGTGTTTAAGGTTATGATAAGGCCGCCTTAATTGCCAAGACTGCCCATAAAGAAAACTCAACTTTGAAGGAAACTGCTATCAAGCTAGGCATTCTGACTGCAGAGCAGTTTGATGAATGGGTGAAACCCGAAGAGATGTTAGGACCTAAGTAACTGTTCATATTACGTCTTTTGATATGCTGTATTTTGTAAATACATTTTGTGGTTATAATTCGTTTATTTGTATCCAGTATTTTTTGTTATTTAAAAATTAAAATGTTGATGTTTTGAAGATACGTAAATTTATTTATCGTTCAACTCGAACACTATATAGACTACTGTAAAAAATGGAGTGCAAACGTTATTTGTGAATTTAGTCATGGCAGTCCTAGATAATATACTAAGTGACATATAAATCCGAACACCCAGTTTAAATGGTTTTATTTTAATAAAAGTTGGTGAATGTATTTATCTTACTGTAAATAACAAGTGAAAAAATTTTCAGTCTTATCAGTTGGACATTCCGGTTTTTATACTGCTTTTTTTTTAATTCACTAACGCTCTAAAAATGAATATTTCAGCCGCAGTAAAGAATCAACGTTGGCGGATTTTGGTTCTTGACATCCTTTACGATCGGTTACGATGCCTAGAGTACGGAGACCTGTACGATTTCGTCAACTTAGTGAGTTTGATAGGGGCCGTATAGTGGGACTTCGGGAAGCTGGAGTTTCTTTTCGGGCAATTGCAGTTAGAGTGCAAAGAAGTGTAGACACTGTGGTTAGGTGTTGTCAGGCATGGCTTCGAGAAGGCCGTACGCAAAGAGCAAGGGGCACTGGACGCCGCCGTAGAACAACAGACCGTGAAGATCGCCGCCTAAGATTATTGGCCTTAAGGGACCGTTTCTCCACTACCAGGTCCATTGCAAATGAATGGTTTGCAGAACACGGAAGACCTATTGGCATGCGAAGTGTTTACCGACGAATGAGAAGTTTTGGCTTGTTTTCATACCGGCCACACTGGGTCCCTTTAACTCGAGAACACCGACGTAATCGCCTTGAGTGGTGCAGACAATGGTCACTCTGGGATCAGGAATGGAACAGTATTGTCTTTAGTGACGAGTCTCGATTTTGTTTAGGCATGCACGATGGTCGTGCCAGGGTTAGAAGGCGACGTGGTGAAAGGAGGAATCCACAGTTTTTTGTTGAAACACATGTTCATCACACTGTTGGAGTTATGGTTTGGGGTGCTATAGCTTATGGTTCCAGGTCACCTTTAATCTTCATCAGAGGTAATATGAACGCGCAGCGTTATATCTACGAAGTTCTAGAACCCCATCGTTTACCCTATCTTGACACCCTGGCAGATCCAACTTTCCAACAAGATAATGCCCGACCACATGTTGCAAGAGTCACAATGGACTTCTTTCAACATAATGATGTCACATTGTTACCATGGCCACCAAGATCTCCCGACTTATCCCCAATTGAGCACGTGTGGGATATGATGGGTAGGAGATTGCTCAATTTGCAACGTCCCCCTCAGACTCTAGAAGCACTTCGAGAGGAGTTGGTGGTTGCCTAGAATGAGATACCACAGGAGGACATTGACCACCTGATCAGAAGCATGCCTAGGCGCGTTGGAGGATGCGTAGCACATCAGGATGCATCTACACATTATTAAAGGGCTTTAAAGCAGTGCAATCATTTTGAAATTTTTATCATTTACTTATTATGCTTCATTAAGTACTTATACAAAATTTTATTAAAATAAAACCATTTAAACTGGGTGTTCGGATTTATATGTCACTTAGTATATTATATACCACCAAGAAGAATGCAGTCTAGAATGAACATACTAGAAGGTTCTTGAAAAGCAGTTCCTGTTTGTACATAAACCTCCTGTTTTTTTCTTCCAACATTCCTAAAATGGTGAGTAATAAAAGAAAGGATGATGTAATAAGAAACAGTTCGAATTTTATTCTAAAACCTACTTAAACGTTTTATTTGCGCCGGCTTACTGTATTTTAGGTTTTACAATTTAATACTGAGTTAAAACAAAATCTGCGCTTAACAGACTTTCGATATTTTTTGTTAGTTGAAGCCAACGCGACGTTTGGAAAATCGAGATCATAAAAATGGGAGTTGTCACTGTATGACTTGTCGTGTAGGAGGGAAAGTCTGCAAAGGCAATGTGTCTTGTGTCCTGTATCCTCTCCTGTTGTAACCAAATGCTGCTAGGATGACGTGGATTGCAGCTTCAACTGTCTTTTTGACATCGCCTTCACTTCCGATGTGTGGGTTGACTTCAACTAGGTCCATGGCACCCAATCGGCCAGTACTGTGCACCATTTCCATTATCTGAATGCCTTCTCTCAATGTAAGGCCGCCTCGGACTGAAAGTTTGAAAATGCTCTAAAAGGAGGATCAGTACATGAAACGCATGTTTGTACGTGGTGGGCCAATTGAATTCGGGGAATGCAGTATAACTTGACGTCTGGCAACACTGCGTCACCTGTCAACTTCTACAGTACAAAACTGAAGTCGATTGTACTTGTGGTTTGAATTTTGTGGGTGTTTTTTAAAGGAATGTTTTTGAGTGGCGTCGTGAAAATGAGTGATTCACATTACAAGCAACGTGTTGTGATCCAATTTTTAGTGAAATCTGGCGAAAAACCCTCGGAAATCTTCCGAAAATTGCAGGTGGTGTATAAAGACAAGTGTATGTCGAAAACGCGTGCTTGAATGGGCAAACGGTTCAAAGAGGGGCGTGAATCAGTAGAAGATGATCCACGTGAAGGGGCGCCAGTAACCTCTCGTACCGGCGCAAATGTCGACCGTTTGCGCGCTCTGATAACATCTAAGCATTCGTACATTGTCTGACGAGCTAAATATGAACAAAGAAACCGTCGGCCAAATGTTACACAATAATTTGAACATGTGAAGGGTTTGCGCAAAGATGGTTCGAAAATTGAATCTTGCACCACGACAACGCACCAGTCCATTTCTCATTAATTGTGCAAGAGTTTTGGTAGTGAAAGCAGTTGTAACGAAGGTGCTGAATGGGCTAACTTCAGAGCATTAGCGAGGCTGTTTTGGATCGTGGGAGCAGCGACGGAAGCGTTTTGTAGAGTTAAATGCAGACTATTGTGAAGGTCAATAATAAAATTTCACGTGAAATTTGAATTGCTTGTTTTTTATTGACAAATTCCCGGGATTTAATTGGCACACCACTATACCCCCGTACACGGTAATCATATAGTACGTATTTCCAAAACGTGGGTCCTCAGATATTGTTACATATTCCATAATACTAACGTACTCAAATGAATAACGCACGTTAAGCTGCGGTTGACTCGTATTTTTGTTTTGTGTGGGGTGTATTATTCCATTTCCACGCTATTATTTTTTTATTACCTGATGTTCCAGTGCTAGGAGCTTCCAGAGTATCCAGGGAATCGATATCGTAGCTGACGTGTATTGATCGTGTCCTTTCGGGGTCAATTCTATCTAAGGCCATGTTCACAACTGTATTTATACCGTAGCTTTCTACGTCCGCCATGAAAAATGCGGTGATACCTAACTTTTCTATAATCAGTCTTTCATAAGAGTCTACAGATCTGAGACCTATATAAGCCACATTTCGAATTGACATCACGGGTTTGTGCCAGTCCATACCTTAAAAAGAATAGTTTCAATTAAATTTATACCCAAAAATATTTAAAATGTATTACAATTTGCGTAAGTTGCCTTCTCTTAAAGCAGAATAACATTAACAGGTAGGTATTATAGGTAATATAGGTGCGAACATCGAATATTCGATTTTTTGAGAAAAACGTAACTTGCAAGTGAATGGACAGCCGCTAGACCAGAGGAACTCATATTGCTGAGATACGGCATGTGCGTAGGGGTTTCCTAAAGGGTTTCTCGTGAACCTTAAACTAAGGCCCGTATCGTCAGTCGTCCCTACAATTGTAGGGCGCCTTTATGGCCTCCTTGATTGTCATAGTTTTCTATTTTTCTATGTCAGTGCTCTATTTTGAGCTTATGTCACAAACATCTGTTTGCATCAAATTGTGCTTGCTTTTGAGTTATATCATGTTTTATCAGCCTGAAATTTCCTACAATTTAAAAGGAAAACATATCTACACAATAAGAGAGCGCTGACGCTGACACGGGACAAGTGTAATCTAGAAATTTTTGAAGGAGAGAAAGGAGTATGACGTGTGACGACTGACCATACGGGCCTAAAGCCATGACGTCGGCCTTCGCTTGGAGAAGACGTGAAGGTATTAAACATTCGTACGCATGATATACCCTATTTCACGAGTATCCACCACGCTTTGACGTCTACTGAGGTGAGCAGCTGTTCAGCAAGTGACATTTTAGTGTTAGTATGCGACGTTGGCAATAATGAATCGGGTGTAAATCTAGTAAAATTTTATAAATAGAAGAGCTGTTAGTAACTACAAAATGAAACTGTAGCTTACAAAACAATAAAACAAAATACGGCTCTGACTACCTGACGTTGACGGATCCGTCAGAATTATATGTCCTGTGCCGATATGGGAAATTTTGAGATAATATATAATCAGCTGTTATTGTACCGCGATGAATACTCGTGAAATCGGGTATAAGTATATTTTGTTTACCTGGTAGATGAGGCCAATAGTCTGACAACTCATAGGGTATTAAAGCCATAGGCATTCCATGAACGTTTCCACTTGGTGTAGTCTTGTTGGTATTACAATCCGCATGTGCGTCGATCCAAAGAAGGCATACCTCGTTATCTTTGGCCTTTATGTGCCCGTCAACTGTTGCCATAGCTAGAATAGAATATGAGAAGTTCAAATTTCGAGACACATCACAAACATCGTTAAAAATTGTTTTTAGTATTGTTAGTTTGAAGACGTTTATTATTATCAATTTTATATACCTACGTCGAAATGACAGTCAAGAATGAGAATTCATTTTTACATTAAAAACTTTTATAGTAATCTCTTTGTTTGTGAAAATCCTACTTTAAGTGATTCGTCTCAACAAGATGAAACAATGATGTCTACATTGTTGACAAGATATGTAATTTTCTGGTGAAAACATACAATAAGAATAGTTCTGAAGAATGTTTCTTCTAATTGCAATGTAACTGACCTATAGAATGATCTCCTCCCAAAGTCAAGCACATTCGACCCTCTTTCATGATTTTCTCGACATTTTTTGACACTTCATGTGTACATCCTACAATTTCAGCATACCCTTTCATATTTGGAACACTAGCCTCCAATTCTCTGTTCACTGTATATGATATATTTCCATAGTCCTTGATGTCCATTTTGTCATCTGAAACATTTTGATAATTTGCTCAAAGTTGGAAGAGGATAATGCAATAATGTCAGAAATGTGGTATTTCAAGCTCCATGTTGAGGAAAGCATTTTTATTTCAATGGCCATTATGTTCCATAAATAAGAAAAAATTTGATCTTATTGGCACAGACCTCTAGCTTCAGGTGGCAATGTATAAAAAATAAGTTGATCTACTACAGATCACCGATAGCGAAGTTCTTTTATTCAAAATGAAGGATACACTGCGAACGTCGTAATGGACATTTTGCATGAAGACTTTGAGGATATAGCCATCTTTCGCTGAGGTAAATTGCCACCAGGATGGTATAATTTGACTCGACTGACATTTTCTCCTATTTTTGACGTCTTTGATCTATGTCAATAAACCAAAACCCACCAATACCCTGACAGACAATATCGGCCAGGCAAAAGCTCAAATTGAGCTAGATGTATGCAGTAGGTATTGAAAATTCAATTTCTCGATTCGTTTCGAGCATCTGAGTTTCCCCATACATCCTTTTATTTTTCCCATCTCAACGTCATGTCAACTCTTTCATGTTCAACAAAAATACTTTAACTTACGTATTGCCGAAAGCTGTTCCATTAATCCAGCTTTCCTGATGGCATCTGGTCCCTGGGAGACTCCTTTTTTGGGCTGCCCACACTCAAAGGGCACCCCGAGGATCCCAACTTTGGTATCATGAATACATCGTTTAAAAATGCCCACGCTGCCAAGCCTTGTTAGCTTTTTCAACATTTTCAGATACTTGCAAGACTAACTAAAACTTGACGTTTATATTTGAAGGTCAGAGGTCACCAGAATGTTAACAGTCCGAGATATCGTAAATAAATGAGGCGACACGTTTGCGGTGGTTTGTGAATGTTAGATGTTTATTATTTCGATAAAAATGTACAGATTGTGTTTTATCAGCGTTTGTAATGGATACAGTGTCTGCGATCAGCATAATGTCATATAAAGACTTTTAAGCTATCAGCTCCTATATGAAGAATTAATATGTGGAAGCCTGATCAACACAAGTTTGTGGACTCTACATGAAAAAAGATTACTTGATCTCTGAAAATAAGTTTATTCTTCAGTATAATCTCATTTCAGTTCAATAAATTTTTGCAGCCCTCCAAAATGCATACCTGGGGCTGTAATAACTGATTCACTTGAACTTCTTAACGCATAGAAACAAATGAAAGACAGGAAATGCTAAATCTGGTTTAATTTGCTAGTAGAAATATTAAAAACCAATCTAAGCCTCTTCTGCATCTTGCAAATCCACTGCTCTGAAAAGAAAAACAAACCTATTAATTATGAAGCATTATTGAATACATAAGCTGCTTTCCAGTGGTCTTTTGTTTTACAGATATATTCTCCCGAAATACTCCAGAAAGTGTATTTATGGGTACATAAAATGCAGTGGAACAATATTGGTGCTGAGCACTGCTGAGTTAGACCCTTGGCACACTACGTCGTATCGCAATCGTATCGTAATACGCCCGTAGGACGAGAGCAAAACGAACTCGTATGTGTGCTAACAAGTCCGCACACGAAGCGATTTTGCAGCGAAGCGTATGAGATGTCCAGTCGTATTACGATAGTCGTAGCGGTCTGGTGTAAGGCAGGCGTAGAAGCAAGCGTAAAATTCAAAAGTTTTGTTTAATTGCTCTCGATATGGCTGAAATGTCTCCTTCCTCATTCGATAAAAGCTTCGGAATTTATTATGGTACCGTTGACGCCATGATTTCAACTGAGATCTTACAAAATGATACAAGTATGATGCGTTTGTGGAACGCTGCATGTCTCGTAAGCGTAGCGTCGTAACGATACGTTTACGAAACGACTGCGCTTACGGTGCGTGTGCCCTTACTCCGAGTAGCTCAACTGGGTCACTGAAAAACAGCTCTACAATGCACCTAAAGGGACCCCACATTTTATTCCTATGAGAGTTCGAGATTTGGTTAATTTTTAACAAAATTTGGAATGTTATTTTAGACATCTTGATGAAAAATGTCCATGGACACAACTTCTGATCGATTGACTAATTTTCAAAGAAAAGGTTTTTAAAAATAGACCACTCATTGATTTTGTTGAAATGTGACGTTTTTGCAGTAGTAAGGGGGCTAATTTAGCCATCACTATTTTGTGATTTTATATTCTAGTTCAAGGGAAAAAATACAGTATTTTTGAATGTTAAAATTTTTGAACGTCGCTTTTGAACTTAAAAACTTTAAAATAGTTATAGCTGATTTGCCCCCTACTACGACAAAAATAGTAATTGAGATATTAAAAAAAGCATTTTTAATGTATCTCGATCAAGTTGTGATTATATGACTTTTCATTGGCTTCTGAATACAATTTTCGTACCCATTTCCAGATAAATCCACCAATCCCAAATCGCAAATAACTATTACACATCAAGGCTAGTTATTTATGGTCTTGTAAATACCTTTATACTCAACTGGCACAATAATGTTTACTAAACAGATAAATCAAGCTATGTAATTACCGCAAAACTTACCCTTTTCCACAAAAAATCACTCACCACTTGGAGATACATAGGAAGCACGCTATCATAGTGAAACTCACAGGCAAAATTAATGCCCGCAAACGGGTCGGCTCAGGGCGGCTTGCCACTATGCCATTGGTCGCAAGGGATCACTGGCACATGTGCCGAGGCCGAAAATATTTAATGAATATTTTCCAAATAATGGAGTTTTAATATTTTCTAGTGATTGAAAAGTAAATATTTGATGAATATTATAGAAGAAATATTGTATTTAAAATATTTAAAAGATATTGAATAAATATTTTATGAAAATATTATATTCCAAATATTTAGTAAATATTTGTTAAAGGTAACAAATATTTAAGGAAGATAAAAATATTAAATATTGAATGAATATTTAATGAATATATCGTGCTATCGGGGGGAACCCCAGTCTATCCATATCAGGAACAATGACCTATAGAGGTAGCCAGATTCATACTGAAAGCTTCATATAATCATCAATTATTGTAAATCACCGTTTTGCGATTTTTTTTCCAAATATTTAGAAAATATATGAGGAAAGATTTTTAAATATCAATTTTATATTTTGATGAAATATCTAATATTTTTCGTAAATATGTATGGATTTTCAAGCATTAATTTGATACATATTTTCACTGTATATGGAAAATTCTAAATTGGTTATCTTAGCAAAACCTGTAGGAATGCTTATATAAAATTGGGTTTATAAAGAAAATCCATTCTAGATATAATGGTTTAATTTGCTAGAAAAATATTATTAAAAAACATTCTAAGCATCTTCAGCATCTTGCAAGTCCACTCCTCTAAAAGAAAAAAAAAAACTTACTAAGTATTAAGTATTATTGAATACATAAGCTGCTTTCCAGTGTATTTATTGGTGCTGAGCATGGTGAGTTACTCCGAGTAGCTCAACTGATGGGTCACTGAAAAGCAGCTCTAAAATGCACTTAAAGGGACCCCACATGTTATGCCTATGATAGTTCGAGATTTGGTTAATTTTTAAGAAAATTTAGTATGTAATTTTAGATATCTTGATGAAAAATGTTCATGGGCACAACTTGATCCTTTGACTAACACTTATTGATTTTGTTGCAATGTGGCTTTTTTTTAGTAAGGGAGCTAACTTAACCATAACTATTTAGTGATTTTATATTATAATTCAAGGGGCAAAAGTATAGTATTTTCGACTGTTAATTTTTTTTAACGTATTACGACAAAAATAATAATAATAATTGAGATATTTAAAAACAAGCATTGTTGATGTATCTCGATCAAGTTGCGATTATATGTCTTTTCATTGAGTTGTAATGGACATAATTTTCATATTCATTCTCAGATAAATCCACCAATACCAAATAACTGTTACACTTCAAGGCTAGTTATTTATGGTCTCATATATACCTTTATACTCAGCTGGCACAATAATGTTTTCTAGTCAGATAAATTAAGCTATGTAATTATGGAAAAACTTACCCTTTTCCACAAAAAAAAAATCAAATAATGAAGCACTTGGAGGTACACAGGAAGCACGCTATCATAGTGAAAGCCACAGGTAAAATGGCAAATATTGGAGATTTAATATTTTCGATTGACTGAAAAGTAAATATTTAATGAATATTATAAAATAAATATTGTATTTAAAATATTTAAAAGATATCGATAAATATTTAAGAAAAATGCTATATTACAAATATTAAATATTTACTTAAGGAAACAAATATTTAAGTAAGATAAAAATATTATTATATATTAAATAAATATTTAATGAATATTTCGTGCTATCGGGGAAGATAAGTATCTTATGCATGGAGATCTCAATACATCAGGGAGATACAGCTTGGGGTGAATTAGGAAAAAGCTGCGTACTTTGTGGCGTATTTATATGCCGTTGAGGAACTTGTAAAGATTTTATGGCTTACTGAGGTATTTGGGAAAAACTGAAATTTGGCCAAATTGTTTTTATTTTTTTCGGACTTTATTCTGAGAGATATCAAAAGTCTAATGGAACTTTTTCATTGACTCTTTTCAGGCACTACAATTTTATGCCTGACGTTTCGTTTTTTAGGAACCATCATCAACTTAATTTTTTTTATATGGTCCGATAAAAAGTACACCCTGTATCTGATAGCATATGTTTCTGCGAAGTCAACGATGTATCACATGTTGTTTTTGTTTTCTTAGTTATGCAGAATAATGTATTTTTTATTTTATTTAAGTAGGAGTTGCAAACAAATGCTTGATGTAAGATTGTGTAATTACTGATACAACTTACATACCTAATGATATGATGGGTTAAAATTTTAGGAAATGATGATTAATCTAGTGATATTCAGAATAACGACGCTTCACTGGAGGTTCCAATTCACCTTCCGGGAAATAGCTGAGAAAGATACTTTCGATGTTGTCTAATGTTATGTACAGGGGCACTGTCGTGCTGAAACTAACAGCTATTGACCTGTGCCAAAGGTATTCTAGATGACGTTGCAACAGTTGTTCTGCAGTCAATGAGTTGTGGTAAATAAATTGGCCTAATATTTTGGTCCCTAGAATTCCAGACCACCTGCTAAAACCGAAAACGTTCTTTATGTCAGGATTCTGTTTTAGCTCGCAAATTTTCTCGTGTCCAGTAAAGAGTATTGTGGTGATTGAAGATACCATTTTATTAGTTACCATACTCCCGTCGGATCATATTATTTTTGAATGGAAATTAAAATCCCTTGGTCTAAGTCCTTGGCAAATCCTGAATTTATAGAGGTGATATCTATTTTTATACAAAATGAATTGGTCTCTGGATTTGGCTACTCCTACATTTTTCTCAGTTTGCCTAGTTGATATCTCGAAGTTCTCAGCAACTGCTTGTAAAACACTATTCTGAGTTTCCTCTAAAGATTCCGTTTTTTGAGACGTAACAGGCTTTTTGAAAGCACCATATTCATTAAAATTTCTAGCCAACTCTAAGAAAACAGACTTATATATACCCTATTTCACGAGTATCCATCACGGTAGAATGATAACCGATTATCTATTCATATCTCAAAATTCCCCATGTCGGCCCAGGACACCTAATTCTGACGGATCCGTCAACGCCAGGTAGAAAGAGCTGTATTTTGTTTTGGTTTTTTGTACGCTACAGATTCATTTTATAGTTGCTAACAGCTCTTTTATTTAGAAAAGTTTATTTGCAAACAAAAAAAAAAAACAAAACGCCACAAATAAATTTTACTAGATTTATATCCGATTCATTACTGCCAACGTTGCAGACTAACACAAAAATGTCACTTGCTGATCAGCTGTTCACCTCAGTAGACGTCAAAGCGTGATGGATACTCGTGAAATAGGGTATAGTTGGTTGCCTTCATTATGGAAATTTATCAAGTTACATTTTATTTTTGTAGTATATCAAAATGTTAAAGTTTTCTTCATTTCTAAAATGACCGCCTGGCATCTTTCACGACAATAAAACAATATTAGCGATACACGATAATAAGAATACTCGGTGACAGGTATTTTCGTCAAATCAAGTATTTTTTGCAAGGCCTACTTAAAAAATAAAAAAATCTGAAAAAACGCATATTTCCTTATAACCAAGAAAATAAATGTAACATGAGAAACATCATTGAATTCGTATAAAAAAATACTATCAGATACAGGGTGCACTTGTTGACCATAAAACAAGTTGATGGTTTCTAAAAAACGAACCGTTGGGCACACAATTTAAAAATACCGTCATGCCTGTAGTGCCTAAAAAGTGCCAATGGAAAAGTATAATTAGTTTTTTGATATTTCTCAAAATAAAGTCAGAAAAAATAAAAATGACTTGGCCAAATTTTAGTTTTCCCCAAATATCTCAGTATAGGCCATGAAATTTTTACAAGTTTCTCAACGGCATGTATAAATACGCGGCTTTTTTCTGATTCAACCTAAGCTATATCTCTCACAGTTAATGAGATCCCCATGCATCGGATCCTTATCTTGGATGTGGATATGTATGAGAGATGGATGTATCAATGTAATTGCTGTAATTTTACTATGACCCGCCAAAAACCACGAAGAGAACAGTCGATTCGTAACGGCCCTTGTTTATCATATAGACTAACATCTACAATCAAATCAACAACTAGTTTTCCTTTTCGACATAACATCCACAAGCAAACTCTTTCTAAACAAGTCACAATGACGTAACTTAGCATTAAAGTTCACCCTGTAAGTTCACCTTCTTCAGTTTTTAGGTTCTTTTAAGATATGATGTGAAAATCCATAACATATCAGAAACAATGGCACATACGTTAATATAACTAACAACCAGGTAGAAGCAACTTCTTTCTATTTTTAAATAGCTTAACATTTAACTTCACCCTGCGACTTCACCTTCGTCAATTTTTAGGTTATTTTAAGAATAAAGTGATATTCTTCACGGTCATCCATATCAGGAACAATGAGCCATAATAATAATATCTAATAATAATAATAATAATAATAATAATGTTTATTGTAGTATATACATAACATAAATACAAAACACATAATACCCCAAAAGGCTGGGGGTTGGCAATGCCATTTTTCACCTCAGCCTACTAAACTACACATGTGAAACTTATTACCATATTATGGGTAACAATGTTGAGTATATAATATAACGTTATACGTATTATATAAAAACCATAATAGGAACAATTTATTTTGAAGAGAATGCATTTAAGCGGTTGTGGCATCAATGAACTGAACTTTTTTTTAAATCGCTTTAAAAATTAGTGATAGAAAATGCTTAGAAAAATTTGGAATAATCATTAAGAATAGATGGTGCCGTGTAAAGGAAACATTTCTTAAATTTAGATGTTGTATGGGCCGGTATGTTGTAACAATGATCATTGCGTAGTGATACTAATCGAAATGATGGCCGTTTCTCTAATTCAGTAAACAAATACCTAGGGGATTTATATTTTAGAATTTTATAAAGAAAGGTGCCATAAAAAAGCAATGAGCGATATGGAAATTTTAAAACATTTTCTCTGATATAATATCTAGTAATGTGTTCTTGTCTGTGTATATTGCTGTAACAAAACCTCATACAACAATTTTGAAGAATTTGGACTTTCTGATTCATTTAAGTCTTGCTTTAATATCACTTGGCAATAAATTTTTGTATCTCCAGAGAGATTTATATTTAAAATAAATTTGTATCTAACATTATTCCTGATTTTTTTATTTCATCCACAATTTCAATAATAGTTCCGTTTAAAACTGTATCTGTATTAATTGCTTGTTTACATTTAGAAACTATCAACTTAAAACCAATGCAACAGACTTTAGTTTTGGAGGGGTTAAGTTTTAAACAGTAATTCCTTGAATAATTTTCTATAACCTTTAAAGTCACATTGAGGTCCATTATCAGGAAATTTATGTTATCTGGTCTACATGCTTTATAAATTTGTACATCATCCGCATAGGAATGTATACTCCAATCAGATGTTATACAATCTATCAAATCTGAAGTGTAGAAACTAAACAGTATAGGACCTAAAACACTTCCTTGTGGAACACCTGATTTTACATCTCGTAAAGTAGATATTTTACCGGAAATTTTTACATATTGGGATCTGTCAGACAACTAGTTGATAAACCATTGCAAGGCTTTGCCAGATAAACCACAGTGTTGTAATTTTCTACATAGAATACTGTGATTGACCATGTCAAATGCCTTGCTATAGTCTAACGTCACCAAGAGTGTAACCATTCCATCATCCATAGATTTTACTATATCGGTTGTAATTTTCATAACTGCTGTCGACGTGTTATGTAGCTTCCTGAAGGCGGACTGTGTGTCAGGTAGTATTTTATTCACTTCTAGATGTTCTCGCAGCTCGTCATCAACAATTTGTTCTAATAGTTTTGACATAGCAGGTAAAACACTTATTGGCCTCAAGTCATTTAAGTCTACAGCATCGGCGACTTTTGGAAGCGGTGTGATTACTGACTTTTTCCATAACATCGGCACTTTTCCCGTATCCAGTGACTGGTTGAGTATTTCGGTAATTTGTTGTATACAAAAAGAAAATACGTTTTTTAGCATCCTTGTGGTAATACCATCGTATCCAACTGCGTTTGACCTTATTTGTATCAATTTTTCTTCAATTATGTCTGTTGTTACACGACAGAATGAAGATTTAGATACAGTTGTTTGTTTCTGCCCTGAAAATCTATTAAAAAACAAATCGTTGGTGTGGACAGTTTTTATCCTTCTTTCGTACAGTCTGGCTCATGTGCTTATTCCAGCGGCTATTTTCGCATTATCCTATACACTCTGTAGACTAGTTTCTTAATTTGATTTGACACTATTGACGAAATGTCCAAATGACAAAATGGAATATATGAGAAAATCGCTGAAGATTACTCCTACGGCTCTGGAAACTATCGCCAACAGGTCCACGGACGTACCTCTTCCTGCTCTGAACTTGAACACCTCTGGTTTTAAATATTTTTGGCTTTTCTCCGATATTTTGAGGTATTTACAGTGAGTACTAATTTAGTAGTCTATTATATATAAAACATGACTGCTATTTTTTTTATTTATTTTTTTTATATATAGCCAACAGCCAGGTATTTTATTTTTAAGCAGCTCAACAATTAACTTCACCCTGTGAGTTCAGCTTCTTCAATTTTGATTTTATTTTAAGAATAAAGTAATATTTTTCACGTAAATCCATATCAGGAACATTGGCCCATAATATAACCAGCAATCAGTTAGAAGCAACCCCTTTCTATTTTTAAATCAGCGTGCCCCTAGTTTCGTTATCTAAATCACAGCCCTTGGTCCAGATATCAATCCAGACCTCTACCGCAAACCTTCCGAAGCATATAATCGATTCGTGGCGGCTCTTCGATGTCATCCCCAACCCCCGGGGCTGCGTTTGCTGCCGCCCGAGCACGAAAACCAAATAACAGTCGATGCCAGAGCCGAAGTCACAGAAGCTTCAGTGCTGCGGCAGAACTTGCGCTGAGCGGCCAGATTAAGTGAAATGCCTGACAACTGAACTAACCTCTGACCTCTGAAGATTGGAAAACGGAGGGTGCAAGATGAGCGAGTTAAATTTGCAGCTAAACCTTCCCCTGGACATGAGGATAGAGCAGTTTAAGGAAGATCCGGAGCGAATGAAACACGTGAATGAGTTTCTCGATGAGTTATTTGATGAAGCACATAAGGAGGCAGAGAGACGGAACAGTGGGAAACTGAAAGGGAAACTGGTAAGCACTGCGTGTGTAGATAGGTCGCTATTTGGTTCATACCTTTATAGTCCAGTTAGTTTATGGAGAGATCTATTTACTATGCATTGTGGAAATAATCGATTAGTACATCATATTCGCCTCATTATAATCGAAATTTATTTAAAATAAAACTGAACACATCAACGTGGAAAATATGTTCAAGGAGGAGCAATATCTGGATTGAATAAGAATCTCCAACTCCTGCACTTTTAAGACAAATTGTAATAGACGTCTTTATGCAACTCTCAGAAACAAAAGATTATTTCGCCAAGTTGTATATCTGTTTTTTTATATACAGAGAGTTATTTCCTGCCATTTTTGTGAGTATTTCACAATATTCATCAGCAACAATCGTATGATGGATGTCTGTTGTGGTCATGATGAGACTAGTCCTCTTTGATCTTCTATATATCCGAAGGGGCTGACCAGATTGGTGCAAATACTGTTTTGTACTTTCGAGCGAATATTTCTTGCTTTTATTCGATTTTTCATTGTACGTACAATTCCTTCTCTTATACGGACGAACAGTTTCTACCACCTTTAATACTTATTTGTATGTATCATTGTAAGATATGTGTTTGTCCATCATCAATTAGTGAACATCGTTTTTGGAAATCTCATAGTTCTTCGTTATTAGATTATTAAGTTCAATATACGTATGACGGAAATTAGATGGGAAACTATACAGGGGGGGGGGGGGTCCAGATACTAAAGGATCATCCTGCAGGTGTATATTAGTCACGTCATGACATACTTAATGACAAAATATTGTTTTATCAATAATCTTATAGTTTTCGAGATTTTCAGCATCTAATCTATACAAATAACATGTTTCAATCAGGCTTTTCTCAGAACACTCACAATTAAGCATTTCATTCAGGCCTTTAATATTTTCACGATGGCCAGAAACTCACATAAAAATCATACCAAAATTTAAATTTTAAGGAAAGTTCGTTCTCACGTCTGACTTTGACACCCTGTAGTGGGAGAGAATCAAATATAATCACTGTGCCAATTCGCCGAAAAAGTTGGTTGGTTATTGGCAATTTTCAAATAGTATTACTGTTACTCGCACTCTGCTGTTGTTCTCTTTTATTTGGAATTATAATGCAGGAGAGGCAGTTTCCGCAAATATCAAAAAAGTACTTTTATGGCTTGGTGGCAAAAAAGGGGAGGATTGATGCTAGCTGATAATTTATGTTCGATTGATTAATCTTAGTGTATCAGAATAACCACTAGCATGCTAGAAGCTGGTGTTATTTTGGTACTTATTTTGTTATCATGGTCAGCGTAGTTTGGCTTGCAAATTTTCTAAAGCAACTTTAATGAAAGTGGTTTCAGATCCAGCGACCTTGGTGGCAATGAAATAAGGCCGCGGCGTTAGATCCAACCCAACTAACAATTATCACTCCTATTAGAGTTGCAAGAACGATTATACAGTCTTCCTTACACAGCATTGTATGCTGTAAGAACATTAGCAAAACGCTCTTAGAACAGCTATACTTCACTCAGTCATTTAAGAGGTTGTATAAGGGCTGCAGGTTACAGTTATGTAACAAAAGTGTAAACCTCTTGCAGCCGCTATAGAATATTTGCATCGGTACAAGATTCAGTTTTTGTCAACTATACAATTATTTTGTTATATGATTATACTTTATTGCAACCAAACTATTTCTTATGTATTGTATGGACGAAGTGAAGAATATATAACTAACATTACATTACAGTCATCTTGTTTACTTACATATCGGCCATTGTGAATTTCATACACAGGTATATGATAAACTTCTACACGGTGATACAGGGCTATGGAATTACTTGCGCAGCAAATTTTATTGTGATTATCGTGCAAAGTAGTTACGCAATTTGTACGGGCTTCGTATTTGATTCATATTTTAATAACGATCAAAAGTATGTTTAGATTTTAAAGATGAAAAACTGAACTTATCGGCTTTAAATCTTCCACAAATTCTATATTTAGACACAATTACACTACTATTTATCACTTTATATCTGTAATGTCGAACTGAAACATAATTAATTAATTTTCAATAGAGACATACATGTTTGCCCAATATGGCGGGTGATTATGTATAATCATGGCATCGTCCATGTTGTCTTTGGTTTATTAGAGTATTTTGGTGTTGTCTGCAAGTGTTATACAACAATTTGACATATCTATAAAATCAAATACGGACAGAGTTGAATGATTTACCCAGAATTTCTACCAGACCTATATCTCCTGTTTGAACAGTTGATAAAAACCTTTTAAACCAATATGCATGTCTTAAAATATTGGTTATGGCATTTTAAGTAAAAAGATGACAGCAGAAAGTTAGGTTATGGTGAAGTTGTATACCAGCATATTTAGCAACAAATGTCTGCCGAGCACAGCAATTTTGTACTATAAAAGTTGTAATATTGTTGCAGATGTACAGCCTTTAACAGTTACTAAACGACAGTTGTATAAGTGCTTCCGTTAGGAGAAATTTGTTGGCTAAAGTAGTAAATGTGCACACCAAAAGAACAAGGCTCGGGTTTGTTGTATAAACGTTACCATGGATGCCACAACACAACTATTTTTACTACCGCGCAAATATGCCGTTTAAAATAGTTGTATAAACGTTTATGCAACCGTTCAAAATTTGTCCTCCTATGTTGTATAACTATGCTATAAAAATATTTTAAACACCTCATTTTAGGGCAAATATGCTGCAGAAAGCAAATTTGCGTTTCACATAACATTAAGCCAGCATTTTGGTGTTCAGGCAACAACAATAGAGAGCTTTTACGGCTGAACAGTTCTTTTACCAAAAGCTTATAGCTTCTACTTTGCTAGTTGGGAAGTAGTTGAAAATAATCTAAACCTAAGTAAGATGCACCTGGACAACCGACTGTTTAGCCTTTTAGATTCCTCACTCAATAAGATTACATTAATTTGGGAAACACACCACAGTCCAAGTGATGGATCTGGCGCTTCATCCATATCTGATGCCCACCAAGATCGCTGGACATGAATCTGCCAAATACTTGTACTGAGGTTGCTCCAAGTACAGCTACGCTAATCACAGTAGAAAACAACTTTTTCGACTATTTGACATGGCGATCATACTTACTTCTTTCATACTACAGGGTGTCAAAGTCAGACGTAAGAATAGTTTTTCTGAAAAACCAAGACTTTAAAATAATTTTTATATGGTTGTAGTGATGAAAGGGCTCATTCTATTGTTGTAACATAATCATTATTATTACAAAATAGAAATGAGCAAAGTACAGTACTATAAGCTTCTATGTACTATACAAAAGGAAAACGTAGTCTATGGATAAGTAGCGTAAAATACATAAAATAAAAACAAAAGGTTCATAGCTATAAAATTTGTTTAGTGTTCCACCTATCGTAATACACTTTGAAGCTATTGACTGACGTAGCGTAACTTCGGCAAATCACAATCAACTAGATCGGGGCCAGTTCAGGCCCAAACATTCAACATTCATACAAGTGGACCTGACACCTGTTTACTGAAGTTGCTTTAGAGAAGTTGTATACCAAGCTAAGCTGATCCCGATAACAGAATTGAGTTCAAAAATTGAACCAGCCTCGCGCAGGCTAGTGGTTATTCTGGCAGGTTGAAAAATGTTTTCTGAAAAATGTAGGGCATGTATAACAGTAAATGGTGTCAGATAACATTAATAAGTTTAACATAGACTTCCTACCCTTTTTTTGTCTCCAGGCCATAAAATGCCATGTTTTGATATTTGCGAAAACTGTCCCTCTTCCATTATAACTACAATTAAAAGAAAACATCAGCAGAGTACGAGTAACAATAACTAAATATTATAATAAATTTAAAAATTGCACTTGTAAGATTATCCTACAGTTTCTGGAGTTTATTAACCAAAATGTACAGGGTGTCCTGAAAGTTGGGACTTTCATTTTCAGATTCAACTACGTTTTCAATACCGCTAATTTGCGGCAAAACAACATCGAAAACATAGAAAAGAAATTGATGAAAAATAGTTACTATTCATTTGGTAAGGAATTTCAAGTACTGCCCTGTGACATGTTATGTTTGTGAACACTGTTTGAAGTTGTTGCTGTTCCATTCAGAAACATGTTTGTGTACATCTTCCTAAATTTGCCATATTTGGGGCTTCAACTGTGTTCAACCAGACAGCGACATTCTGAGCACACTCGCGGAGTATCAATAGGTCCTTGGAGATGCTCATATCAAATAGATTAGAAGGATAGAACTACGTTATTGCTCTATAAATCCATGCGACGCCTCATTTGGATACTGACTCATCTAGTCACATATTCTTAGTACATCATCATAACACCCCCTGGGTAAGACGTCATTGACATTACGTTTTGACGTGTAGAAGGGGATTGTGGGAGGGGAGGGAGACAAGGACGTACTGGCTCATTTATTGCTTTTTGGAACCTAATAGCTCGGTTATCTTAAAGCTATATATGTTACTTATTATTGCCTGATCTATACGCACGTAAAATGAACTTTATGTTCCTCAAGGAGACGGCGACATGAGACCACAACAGGCGACCAAGCCTGAGACCAAAATGCGAGGCTAGTGCTATAGCATTCTTGCACAAAATCTGTCACTCTTAAAAACTCACTGGGAATTTAAATTCAAATTAATAAAACATTATTAGCAATAACAGGCCAATGATACATAGTGTTTTTTGTTAGTCTGCTACGTTGGCAGTAATGAATCGAGGGTAAATCTAGTAAAACTTGTTTGTAGCCTTTTGTTTTTTGTATGCAAATGAACTTTTCTGGATAAAAGAGTTTTTAGCAAGTACAAAATGAATCTGTAGCGTAGAAAAAACCAAAACAAAATATGGCTGCTGATATGAGGAATTTTTAAATATTACAAGATAATCAGCTGTCATTCTACCGTAATGGACATTCGTGAAAAATAATATATATGTCACTTCGAGTAGTCTCATGACTCAGTCTCCGCGTGGAACGGTACCTTAACTACCGCGTCAGTAAAACTATAGTTGTAGTCAAAGTTCTTAGCGGGTCAAAGTAAGACTACCAGTACCCCTTTATATATCTCCATCTCCGTCATACATACACATGCAACCTACCCCTGTGTGTGAACGTTTGTTCGGTAAGCTCAAAAACATACGTTTTTTAGTTGTGTGTCTCCGTCTCGAAAGCTTTGCGTTACGTAGTGCCCTTCAATCATACTTGTCAGAGTGACAACTTACTTGACATCGGCGTGCAATTTGAGTTGTCCTGTTATCAATCTGCAATATAAAATTGGACAATGCCCGGAAATCAATGGAGAAGGCCGACAGCTCGTGCTAAATTTATTAGAGTATTTTCAGGAAGAGAATGAAAACAGCGGTCCCCTGTTACCCACTTGATGCGTACTGAAGAGAGTAGCAGATGCGCTGAAGATTAAGATCCGCCCATGGTACGGCGACTCGATCTGTTTATGTCATATTATGGCATTGATGACGTAACCGCCAAGAACGGTGACTACGACTATACTAAACTAACTGAGCTATGATGACAATTCAACAAGTTCAGTATGTTTATGAGCGTTCTAGATGCAGCACTACAATAAATATGCTATTAAATCAACCTTGGGCATATGAATATACCAGTCGCATGCTAAGTAGTGTTTAAAGTGATTGATTATCCTTTAATTTTACTGCCGTGAAGGCGCACTTACAAACGATTTTTGCATAGTGATATGCTTCCACAAATGAAATGCATTTAATCATTTACGAGCACTGAAAAATATACAAGGTGTAGTTACCCAGGTTGGTATTTTAAGAAAATAGCGATGTATACCGAACTTGAGAAAGCAAACTAAGTGTATCTTTTTGATAAGTGATTTATCTAAGAATAGGGGAAATACTTTCTTTTGCTCTTCTGCTTCCCATCGTTCTTCCTCCCTTTACTTAACCAGTGAGTAAACAATCATTTATGGGTGAACGCCATACGTACAGGCAGCTTGTAGACATCTCTAAGAATTTCCTCAAAAAAATCAAGGAAAATGAAATGAAGATGCTTGAAGAAATCGAAACCACTCATATTTTGCATTTTGAACTTTTCCCATGACTTTATTACGTTTAATGTAATGTAAAGAAATAAAAGAGGATCATACTTCAACGTGCCACTTCATGAAGGTGAATAAATCTTAAAAAGTTCCAAGAATCTTGTCAATAAAAGCTTTCCTTTACTTGAGTAGATATACCTGTTCAAAGCTACAGGAAAGAGAGATATGTTATGAAACATTATGCATTATGAATTGCATGAAAAGTATGCACCGTCGAAGCGAAGGCCAAGTTTTGAATGCCCAAAAAATGACATTGCTAAGCTCGCATAACTTCATAACTAGATACTATTTGAAACTGTTTAAGGTTTTCAAAGCAAATAGAAAATATTTTCCAAAAACAAAAATGAAATATATGATGATTGATGCATTATTCAATTTACTTCTTTCTGGACATTTTCCATGGATGTATACTTAGATTTTGATTTTTATTTTTCTCGACTTACGAAGCCACTCCACTTAAAACAAGGCACAAGCGCTCGCAAGAAAGGGAAGAACCATTCGAAACATAATTGAACGGTAGAAAAAATAGTTCCAGAGGACACTATACATTCTGTCTATGCTACAAAGACTTTCAATCCAGTAACAACAGAGATGGTGAAAGGGACCTCGGTTGGCCGCGTGGGTCAGAGTGTCGTGCCTCTGATCAGCCGGCCGGCCGGGTCGCGAGTTCGAATCTCGCCTTCGCCATGGATGTTGTGACGTCGTGTGTTTGTCCATAATTAGAAATGTAAATATATCAACTTAGTTTCTGGCTGCATGGCCTGGTCCTAAAGCAAAAAAAAAAGAGATGGTGAACGATAACGATAAAAACCGTTCTTGTAATTATAGGGATTTATATGCTTATTTTATCTCTTATTTAGTACTAGGTGACAATCATGATCTATTTGCGGAAAAAAATACATCTTATGTTAACTTGGAACTGGAACTGGAAATAAATACAGTTATCTGAGTGTTATTTTGCAAATGTTGATTTAAGTGCTGGTTTTAGTGCCGTATTTTTGCTAATTAATCATGATTCATCCAAGTTTAAGATAGATATAGAGTAAATGTAAACATGTACTCGTACTCAAAATACGAAGAATTGGACAGGGTCGTATTTATAATCATATAACGATGATTGGAGGATACCAATACTTCGTTGATGGCAGATGCGGCTTAGTTAAACATCTCCATAAATATTACTGAAATGCATTAGCTTCTCAGTTTTTCTCATTGAAATTTTCTCAATGCACGTCTCGTGAATGCCTAATTGCAACTCTGTGCTGGTGCTTGTCGCAGCGAACGAAGTAATGGATATTCACATCTGATCATTGTTCTGTCCACATTTTGCACAATAGCATAGTTACCAAGGAGCAAAAAAAAAACTAGAGGGTTAAAAAATCCATACTGCAGTCTCACTTTTGAAATGTTTCAATATGTACGAGAAAACCGATAAATGGTGCTAAATAATTAGTAACAGATTGTCTCTATTGATTTCTTAATCAAACATTTTTATGTAAATAATATATTATTTTTAGCAGCTTATTTGACACAAAACTCAAAATTTCAGGAGTTGGTTGGTTTAATTAGCATTTTATAAAATAATGCTCATTAAAATTGAACATAAGATATTTTCGGAACTCAAAATTCCAAGTTCGGATTAAGTTTTTTCATTTCCTTGTACTTTTGATGTTTTACAATAACATGAATATTGCTTTAAGGTAAACGGTATTTAATATGAAAATGCACTGAATTTGACTCTCTAAAACAATTCAAGATTATGATGAAAATGTGGAAAAACCTAACAGGTCCGGAGCATTTGCAGCATACTTACCCTTACGTGCTCTTATCACAACCTTGCGTTAGATTCAGTTGCATAATGCAAAAATGGTACAACACACAATTACATGCCAAGTCCGGGTCTGCATACTACGTTTTGTGGATTTTTACCTTCATTTCAAGTTGGACTGGAAGGTCAAACTGGCGGAATTGCATAATAAATACCGTTTTCATTTCAAGCAGAACTCGTGTTGTACAATACCAGTAGGTAGAATTGGATCATTAAAAAAAAAATAAAAAATAAACATGATACTTAACATTGATTTTCCCTTTTATTTAAAGTAAATCGTGCTTTGCTCTTTTTGAGAAGTTAATAATAAATTTCTAGTTTAGCCTACCCTGGAATTTTGAGTGCTCGAAATAATCTTGTAAAACGCTGATGAAACCAAGTTGAAAGCCTTTGAAATTTTTAATTTGATTAGCACCATTCGTTGGATTTTTGTACACATACACACATTTCAATACTCAGCTTAAACGGTGCTGATTTTGATAAAGAATAAAACCGATTTTCAACCGTCCGCCTAGTTTTAAGTTACTCCTAGGTAAGTCTGCCAGCATGCAAAATTTCAACAATCGATTGAATAGTGCCTGACCACTGACAATACGAACTGGGATACATTTTCGACAGGCAGCTTGCTGCCTTCACGTTCGGGTAACGGATGGCAATTTGTGCTGTCTTATGTCGAAATCAAACCTACTACTTACTTAACTATTTTCAAGCTATACCAAAAGAGTGTGACATTGACAACGATTAACAACGACAACGAAGAACGAGCACGTGTATTTTTTTGCAGTACCTGTATATATATCAAGAGATCATTCTCCACTCTATCCCATGCATGTTTTCATGTAGGCATACTGATTCAGAATGTTTTTACAAACGTCTGAGTCTATATCAATGCTCCGAAGAGGTGCTCTACGTACAATAATATTTTTGCTATGTACCTAATAGTTTTTTCCAAAATCTGCTTGATCAAACGGTGAAATACCATTCGCATCATCACTGAAGAGGATTTCAATTACCCTATCCGATCAATGGAGCCTAAGTGTCAAAAATATTTTACAGAAAATCATATATCTGCCATTTTCGAGGGCCTTTAAGTACAGATCATTGTCTCTCTATCCATTACTTCGTCTTTTGAACGACATTGCATAATTTTAAGAGTTATGAAAAATACTTATTTACTCTTTCATTTTCAGGACTCTTTAGGGATTCAAAGTAAGTAGTCTTGGAGAGTTCACATTGTAGTATAGCGTTAGAATGGGTGAAATTAAAGTCTGCATGCATTGGTAGTAAAGGTTGAATATATTTTCAATCTAATAAATCATATTGAAATATTTCTATTTATAATCCAGCTACTGAAACTTATCCTTTGGTTTTCATGTAGATAATGCCCCATTTTTGTCTGGCCAGTGAAACCACATATATTTGGGATTCTTCTTTAATGTGGTATACATTTCGGTCACAATAATCGGTCTTCCAGGTGACACATTGTTTGTTTTTCCTTTTCATTTTCAGATTCCTACACAGTGTGTTACTACAATAGTCTGAAAGGTCCGTAACATGCCAAAATTGCGCGAAGCCATCTTTGCAAATTTTAAGATGGCACCACACAAAAGCAACATGGACCAGAACTGCCTGGCGTAGCCATTCCCGCTCCCAAAGGACGTCAGGGCTTCAAAACGGAATAGAATCTGAAAATGGAAAGAAAAAGCAGACGAAGTGTGACCTGGGATACAGATAAATAAAATATTGTCAATCGTGTCAATTACTGAAGGTCACATTTACTAGAATAAAGAAGAATTTCAAATATATGTGGTTTCATTGGCCAGACAAACATGGGATTATTTCCATTTATCCCACAAAATTTGCAGACGGTTCGAAAAAGATAGGCATTTGGTCCAACCGTGCTAGGACGTCAGCAAGAGTATTTGCTTCAAGAATATTTACAACAATCTGCAACTGTACTAACCAGGTTAGGACCAGTCTCATCACCCGAAACAACAACTGAAGCCACTGAGTGGGCCTGATTTTACTGTATCAAGAAACATCTAAAATGAGGAACCAACATCTATTTTTATACAATAACTGAAGACACTTTATTGAAATATTTTGTCTACTACTAAGTTTTGACAGAGATATCTGAAAGCTCGACCTGAATACTACTGTGTAGGTCCGATCAAATTAATATATGAGGAACTACTACGAAACATAGAAATTAAAATGCAATGGAGTACATGCAGCTCCAAAATTTCTTCGCTTGTTTTTTCTACAGTAGTAATAACAATGATGTTCTTTTAAGCTATATTAGGCACCAATACTAAACTTGAGCTTCCATATTTGCTTTCTAACAGAACAATAAAAATATTTATTGAACCACTTATGTGGCCTACATAATAAATGTGTACTACTTTTGTTCTATGGGGTGTTTTCACAGAAATGTTTGATTTTCTGCTACGTTTCAAAAATTCTCATTACTTGAAGAATCACTTTTTGTTCATAGAACGGAATGTCTAGGGCTAGTTCGGTGCTTGGGAATCGACTTACTCATATATTCCAATAGGAAAGACAACTATACTGGACTCTTTTGGCCTTTTAGCTTTTGCTGCCCTCACCTTCTCTTCATTCTGTCGAAAGGCTTATGTATAATTTTGGAATTTAATAGTAACGTTGTACGTGAAAATCAATCATGTAGGATGTATGCAATAATTCATCATATTGTTTAAATAGTTATTATGGCAATTTTGCAAAGCAGTTTCATTAATCAACGTTTTTTTTGTCCAAATTAAAATGTTTGTTTGCCTTTGCCGTACACATTCGGTGTGAATGCTCCATAAAGATTCATTTTATACCTAACCTTGGTTGTTATTCACCTGTCCCTGTCCAATAAATGTTAATAGATTAGAGTTATACAATATACAAATTTATATACATATACATTAAATGTATGTATTACACAAACAATATGATACTCTTATATGATACTGTTGTGCACAAATATACCAGAAAATTGCTCCATTACACTAAATGTTGTTTCCAAGGTAACAGTCGTTATACACAATATATATATACCTGAAGCTGGTATGATATGAGATGTTCTATGGGCAAAGGTCCTACGGACCGCCCAGACAAACAAATGTCGAATATGTTGAAAGAAGAATTTGGTAGTTAAATTATACCATACATTTGGTGGTACCTCGATAGTAATCAAATAGTCAGTATTAGGACTTTCCCTTGTTATCTATTAAGTTTCAGAACAAACTTTGAATGTGCCCAGTTAGAGTAAGATAATGTAAGCTTACCCAAGAGTGTCAACAAACTGTATGGTACACCCTCCGCTTTATACATTAATATACGATGTCTGTAAATTAAGTGGTGAGGCTGCTTTTTTTAATTTTTCTATATTCATACATAATTTTAATTCTATATTGTCACCCTCAAAATGACTTCCTTCTGAAGCCACGCAATGCTGGAATCGGTTCTTCCACTCCTCATAGCAGTGCTGGAATTCCGATACTGGAATAACCTTCAGCTGGTCGGTTACAGCCGTTTGAATGTTTTCGAATGACCCAAAATGAGTTCCGTTGAGGTAATTTTTCAACTTCTGGAAGAGAAAAAAGATACACCTCTTGATCTGATGAACGGTGGTGTGAGTATAATTTAACTCTTCTCCGATCATTCTTACTGTCTTTCGACGATCTGAACGCATATGATCCCGGATTCTGTCCATATTTTCATCAGTTCTTGAAGATGAAGTCCTTCTGCTTCGTGGTTCATCTTCAATCGAGTCTATCCCTTCTAAAAATGTCTTAAACCAACGAAAAACCTGGGCTTTTGACAAAACACTACCTATGTAGGCCTGTTTAGTAAGAGTTTCCGTTGCACTGTGCCCAAGTATGAAGCAAAACCTGACAGCACACCGTTGCTTGAAATTTTTAGAGCACAATAGAAAAAAAGATTCCCCAAAAAAATCACTACGGAAAACCAAATGAATCGAGCGAGTTCATACCTATACTGAAGACGCATCACATGTTCCCCTGTCTCCCCTCCAAGCCCGGCCCCTCCAGTGTTACCAGATCGAACGTCAGTGCCAGTCTCATCACTTAATTTACAGATTTCGTACATATAGCGGACTGACATTGCTGTGAAACTTAAACTTAAGTGTCGGTAGGATGATATTTGTTCCGTAACCCTAAACAATCGTAGACTAGGCAGGGTATGCAGGGTACCTTCTTCTGACATAAAATATGTAAAATTGTACGCAAAAAAATGTGGAAAAACGGAGGACAAATAAATGTGATTGTTGACGCGCCTTTTATATCCAGGTAACGTCGTAACTTCAATTTCAAATAATAGTGTTAAGCTTCATCCCCTGAACTGAAAAAATTTATTTTTCAGTATTTCTTCCTTAAAAACGATGTTGCTAAGTGATTATTCTACCTGATGACACAAATTCACACATGTTGGTCCATATTTTATCGGTAATCTGTACAATTCAGGTATTCTATACCTAGGCAATATATAGAATACCTGGTTGCCCAGGCAATGTATGAAATATGAATATTATTATCCATTACATACATTACCTAGGTAATGAATACAATTTCTAGGGATTGTATAGAGTACCTGCTGTTCCACTGGCAATGTGTAAAATAAATAGATCTTGGTCTATATTTATCAATGTTAACAGACATACCTATAAAATGACGGGCAAATGAAAAAAGTTATATTATTTAAAATCAATTATCTTAAAATTAACAATTAGAGTGCTTCTTAAAAATAAGCTTTATGAAAAGGGTACAAGAAAAGCACCTCTCTGTTACAAACAGTAAAATTGATGTGAAACTAAAAATTATTCTGGTTATAAGTAACATAATGTAATTTTCTTTGCTTACAAGGACGCATTTCGTTTATTGCCTGCCTGTCGGTACGTACAACCCGTTCCTTGCTCTCGTCCTTTACATACATTACCGGCTGCGCATTTGGTATTGTATAGAATACCTAGGCAAAGTATAAAACAAATAATATTTTATACATTACCTACACGGTTTAGGTATTCTATACATTACCTAGGTATTGTATAGAATACCGGTTTATACAGATTACGGGTAACACATATACAACTTTACAGAGCGTATAAGCTGATTTAAGAAAGTAGATGCTTCACGGCTGGTATTGGTTGTACGTCTTAAACACCGTGTGTGTGTAGTATTAAATTGTGAGTTTGTGTTGTTACGTTTCACGTTCCGTCAATTAATTGACATGAGCAAAATCAACCGATGGTATTAACACTACATCTCGCATCACACTTACTCACTTACTTGACAAGTAGAATGTATAAGTAGTATGCTTGTCTATGCCAGCCTTTACCGAGGTCGAAAAAAAATCGGTAGGCCACGAAATGTAGTTTTCATCAATATATTTTTTTCGAGACTATGAGCAGACTATATACATATAGTTCGTAAGGTACATAAGATTTGGGTATCAATTTTGGAGGGACTACATAAGGAAAATTTTTAAAAGTACTTTTTTGTCTGAGAGTAGACCATTTGTAACTTTGGATAATAATCGACAATCAAAAAGACCCAGCAAGACTAAATAATGCATATAAAATTCAGATTACTCACTAAAAGAACATATCCTAACAAATAAATGTATTTTATCATTCGGAAATATTTTTACAGCAGATTCTCATTTGATAAAAGAATGTTACAAAAATACAGAAACTTAGTACGTTTTACTTCAATTAGGTGGTCATTCTATGAATTTGCATTGGTGGAATCTACTACATCATGAAGACGTCCATTTTTGTCAGTGACATCACTATCTCGAAAACTTACAAAATGATAAGTTAGTAATCAGTGCAAACTCTGGATATAGGGGAAAGTCGGGTATGTGGGACCGGTCTTTAAGTTGTACCAGGACAATATTTCCTGAACTGAAGATTTCTAAGGCCATATATTTACCTTGTTCACCTTTGTTAATTATTTGTGATCTCTGCAGTGCAAGTTGAACAATTAAAACGGTATTATCACGATGTTTCGATTGATATACCTGTACCACTAACAATACAAAATTATACATTTGGTATGATACAGTTTAAAAACCGCGTGGCACAACTGAACGAATCGGTTCAATAAATTGCACTGCAAAATTTTAAAAAAATAGCTTATTCCAAACTCGTGAGTATTTACATCAGTCTTAAGTTGTGTATTTTGACAAGAAACATGCCAAATTATTCCACTTTGAAGTTTCGTTCAACTGAAACAAGTCAGTAATGAGTTATTTCATGGAATATGTTAGGTGGTACAAATTACCCGACTTTACTCTATACAAACGTTACATTATCTTAAATTATTTAAATACGTTTTCCATCTTCCATACACACATTATAGTGTGATTGTGGGCATAGATCATAAGCAATATCACGTTAATGTACCTATCTACATTATACCTGTTTTTGATGGATGTAATAAAAATGTGAGTATTTATTGGTATTATTTTTTCTCCAAAGCAGTTTCCAGGATTTTTTTAAGTTATATGCGACTGACTATTACCTGCGACTTCGTACGCGTAAAATTGTTAAGGTACAATTGAACCAGATTTTACATTATAAAACCCACCTCCCTGCTTAGCCTCTAGTTGGAAAATGTAAATTTGTATGAAATGTTAAAGTTAGGAAGCTTATATAAAACGTGACAGCCCTTAAACCCCTAAATTTTCCAATGTCTCACAAAATCCATTCTTCTACCCCTTATTATTGCCAATTTTTAGGTATCTAAATTTCGAACAAACTAGTAAATGCCGCCTGTAATCTGGCGTTGCAGCAAAATTCGCCTTTAGCTGACAAGTCCTGTCCACAAGTTACCAAATTTCACGTCGTAATTAATGAGTGCAGATATTTTCGCTTTCACATATACGAGTATATGCCCTTAGCCGCCCTGTCACAAAATCAGTTCCTAGCTGAAGTGTCCTGTCTATAAACTACCTCGCCACCTAATTTCATATTGATACATCAAACAACTTTCGAGACAAATTTGAAATACTCCAGGATCAGCGTCAAGAGTGTCAACATCAACACCCCACTTCACTCCTAGGGGAGGAATTTCTAAATTTTCTTTGTCAGTGCATTATGCTAAACAACAAGGTATGAAAAAAATCATATTTGTATCACTAATTTAAAGAAACAGTTTTCCCAATAATAATCTTATCCTTTCAGTCCCTTCAAGTTTTGTTTTCGCACCAAAAGGTTGGCGTGGAAAACGGAACATACACACTTTCGCATGTATAATAACAGTATAATTAAAATAATATCATAAGATAATACTATAAAAACATAATAATATACTCGGTGACATTAGAAGTGCTACACGCAGAAAAAATAATTTCTTGAATGATTATATTTAAAGCATGCTGTGGCAATGTCTACGTTTTATCTTTGTTTTTTTTTACGTTTCTTAAGATGTTATCTCTTACTTTTTGTAAAGAAAGCAGTTTCTGAGAGCTGTGTAGTTCATATATTTTTAGTTATTGCTCCTTCATTTACTAGTGTTGAGCATGTTGGTGTGCGAAATTGGCCGCCGTGTTAATTGTACTGCAATGTCGTTAATGCGTGTGTGGACAGAAGAAGGTAGAGGTACATGAAGATTGCCAACTTGCCAACGAGGCGTACCACCGGGCGTTAAGGTAGGCGCTTCAGACAACTAGCCCTACGAGGCCGTTTTGGTACTACGCGTCAGATCGCTGACCAGTGTCGTCAGTCAACATTTGAACTGGAGCAGAGGAAGGCAACATTGGAAGGCAGAATGGCACAATCTCATTTTAACACATTAACGCCCGCTGTACTTAAGCGAGTACACTCGTGTTCGTTCCTATCAGAGCCATCTCTGAGTCAACCACAAAATTACTGCCTCTTATAAACATTTGTAGATGGTATGTACATGCGACAGGGCGCAAGAGCCATTTTTCATAAATTCTGTGTGTCGTTGTTTACAGTAATAGAAGTTATTGCTTATTTGATCTAAGGTAAGTTCGGATTTTACATCATTTTTTGTTATTGAGATGACCATCCAATAAACATAATCTTTTTATATTACGTATATGTAAAGGTTGTTTGTTTGATTTGCCGGGCATAAATTATTTTAACTGATTTGATGTAATTAGAATGTATGTTCAAGTTTGACTGTACTCAAATGAGTACACTGGGCAAATTCGTTATCAGTCGACTAATGCTATTTTTTTTTTGTTTTAGATATGTACAGACCCTTTTTTGATGATCCTGTTAAAACATACGAGTATTACAATTTTCTGCCTGATGCTCGAGATGATTTAAAAGATAACGATGATGTTGTGGTCTTGCCTCCAAACGCGCGTTATTTGACTGACGAGGAGGAATTGGACGAAAAGCAACTGATGGCAAATGGAATGCCATAAGATGTTTCTGGTCGTGTATAGCTGTTTCGCCAAAGTTCAGCTAATGACGAGTTCTGAAGCAGCGACGAAGAGCATTTGAGTGAAGTGCGAAAACGTATACAAATACTTAAATAAATCTAAACACGATGACTTGGACTGGGAGAAATGCAATCCTCAATATTCCATTTGGTCTGAGCCGCCACCGTTATGTGAAATGAATGCCAATAGGGATAAACTAGTGGAAGAGATAAAGGATTTAAATCCAGTACAACTATTTGAATTTTTCTTTGATGATACGGTTTTGCGGCATATTATCGATCAGTCCATGTTATATGCATCTCAAAATACTCGACACCAAAGAAGAAATACAATCCTTCATAAATTCGGACATTTTCCTGCGAAGCTAGAGAAGCAATTACGATGTACAGTATGCCATTCAAGGGTTCGTAAACACTACGTATTGAACGTGCCTGCTTCAAGTTACATCATACAAAATAAACGGGTTCGCCTATTGTACTCAAATGAGTACTGATATTTTTTTGGTAAAAATAATAAAATATATATGGTTTTATGAACTTCAGTTTTTATTTTAGTCCGAATAACCTACCTTATATGCATAATATCCGTTTTCCATGTTCAAGTTTAATTTGGGCGTTAATGGGTTTAAACGACGAATCGCGATTCTGTCTAAGTACGCACGAGGGTCGTAGAAAGGTAAGACGCCACCGTGGTGAACGGCGTGATACTAGATTTGCTGTTGAGAGGCATGTACACAGGACTGTTGGAGTAATAGTTTGGGGGGCTATTGCCTATGGTAGCGGATCATCCCTTCTCTTTGTTCAAGGCAATATGACTGCTGCGCGTTATGTTGATGATGTCCTACAAACCTCTTTACTGCCGTATCTAGACTGAAGCCCACACGTCCCTTTTCAGCAAGACAACGCACGTCCCCGTATTGCTCGTCGTACTGCGGACTTTCTTCAAGAAGCAGGAGTTAATGTTTTGCAGATTTAAATCAAATCGAACATACAGGAGTGTATTCAGCTACGGGGTCGCCTAACACATTATTTTTTTTCTTATTGTCAATAAAATTTCGTGAGAATGTTATCATTTTTATTCTTGATGTAGGACTACCTCATTGCCAAAAAATCAAGCTGAAGAAAATATTTTTTCTGGGTGTAACACTTCTAATGTCACTGAGTATATAATGATATAATAATATTAGTGATTTATAATACATGTATTGACATAATCTTCTTTACTGTAAACGTTTAAATCATAAAAGTGATCTTCAGTACAATGACAATATATTTTATTTATATTTATGTGTCTTCTAGGTGACAGTTCGTTTGTTTTTTATTTTCATTATCACAATCCTGCATAGGATATTAAAGTCCTGTAACATGCTGAGATTGCGTCATCATTTCCTACTGACGGCAGAACAAAAGTCAATTCGTCTATTTCAATATTTTTGTAACATACTTGTCAAGAGATTTTATCAATAATAGTAAGAATCAACTACTGCCAAAGGAACTTTCTCTGAGCATTTTCCATATCTTCCCAAAAGAATATCGAATCGGAATCGGAATCGCATGTATTTAGAATCCATTAAAAATATCTACAACGTTTTCGGGATTTTGGTATGCAACTATAAAAAAAGACGTTTACGCAGTTTGTAGTGAAAAATCAAGCATTCTCAGCTATCAAAAGTTTATATGCACACAGTGCGGTGATGCTAGTTGCCTACCTTCAGATTCAGCTAAAAGCTTAATTTAACGCGAAAAGAGTATAAATAATATTCAACATTCAACCTTTGTTTCCACGTTTATTTTGAATTGAATGATCTTCTTTAGTTGGAATGAACAAAGCCTGAATGAGGAATTATGTCTCAGGGACGCTACTGATAGTAGTTCTAAATACAAGACACAATTCTTATTTGAAATATGCATAGGATATTAAAATACAAGTTCGTAGTGGATCAACGGAAGTCAGGTGATAGAGGGCCTCAAATTTTTTTTTTTTTTTTTTTTTTTTTTTTTTTTTTTTTTTTTTTTTAACGAGGGGGGAATGCATTTACGCACCATACCATAGCACGAGCTACGACGTGTGTGGGGCTCCAGGGTCTTGAAGAGATCACCTAATACCCACTAAACCCTAAACCTCCGCGTGGCCCGACTCATCAGCGTCTCGGTAGGCCATGTGTTGTGCGTGACCTGCGGTCTGCTACAACGTCTCCTCATGTGTTTCAGTCTCTGGGAACGCCGGGTTGGTTCCCTTTACCTCGCACATTCTATCGATGTCGTTAAGCGATCATCGATAGAGGGTCTGCTAGTTTCTCTTGAAACTCTTGTTTTCGAAAAATCAAGAGTTTCAAGTCATCTTACCAATATGTTGTTCCTGGTCCTGGTCCTGAAGGGTCCTGGTCCTGGTGGGTCCTGGTCGTGGCGGGTCCTGGTTGGTCCTGGTCCCGGTGGGTCCTGGTCCCGGTGGTTCCTGGTCCTCTGCATCCACGCCGTGGGGGGGGGGGAGCAGCCGCAAATTCTCCTAGTCTCCTAGTCAAGGTTCCAGTTAGCGGGTGCCAACTGGGACCTTGGTCTGGGGTACCTGGTTCTGCGGTTGCGAGGCCTCTCGTCCGGATCGTAGTCCATGAGGAATCGTAGCTGCTCGTTCGGGTGGTCCTGAGCTTTCTCGAAGGTCTTCTCCGCTTTTTTCCTCATGTACTCGTGGATGGTATCCCAATGCAGGTCTCTACGCAAGGTTGAGTTCCTTACGTAGGAAGGTGCATTGGTGGCGATCCGGAGTAGCTTCATCTCTAGAGCAGCAAGTCGCTTGCGGTAGCTGGGGGCAGCGTACCCCCAGACCGCGGAGGCGTAAGCGAGCTGAGGTCTGGCGATGGCCTTGATCAGCCGTAGCTTGGTCGCTAGCGGCATCTGGCTGTGTCTACCCAGTAATGGATAGAGTTGAGCCATGGCTGCTCTGGTTTTTGCGATGACAGCTTCTATGTGCGCTTTCCAGGTGAGGGACTTGTCAAAAACGATCCCCAGATATTTGACATTGTCGCTCCACTGGATATCTTCAT